GAAACAAAGCTCTTATTTCGAAATTGAGTTGGCAACTCCTACGTGGCTACGTGATCCAAATTCTTTGTGGGCAAAAATTCTTGAGGTGAAATTTTTGAAGGGTGAAAATTGAGATTGACTTATACTGATTTGGAGGGCGATTGTTTTACAGTTATCAAATGACTGTTGGAGGATTATATTAAAGCCTGTTACTTTTTTGGATCTTGAGAGGGAGGAAGTTTGTCAATGGAATTTTGGTTTTCATTGATCAAGATATTCATGTTTTTTTTTTTCAGATTCATGTGGGTTTGTGAAAAACTTATTTTCCTTGAACAGCATTTACCCAATTAATTGATACCCATTTTCCACCTAGGAGAAAGTTGTCAACACTTGAATGAGACAAAATTATTTATTTCAATAATAAATTTTTATGGTTACAAATAATTATTTTCTTATTTAACTGAAAAATAAAAAAAAAACATGAATAAATGTATTACAAACATAATTGCTAATTGCAGATTGCTTATGGCTTCCTTCCCTCATTGCTCGGTATCTTGGATTGAACCAGCGGGTAATAAGGTTGTTCACTCATTGGCTAGCACATGTCCTATCTCTTCATTTTATGTATACTGCTCTATTACTCAATCTTTTTTGATAGACATTATCTCCTCTGATTGTAATGCTGAGCAAATTTCCTAATGAATGAAGTTAGAGTGCTCTCCCTTATAATTTGCGCTTCAAATAAAAAGGCACCTTAAAATTAAATATAACCAACTATCACATCAACAAAATTATACTGTTTATACTAATGTGACAATTGTTTTTATTTTTAAAAATAAAACCAACTATATTGTCGAACACCCCTTACTGCTATGTTGTACTCAAGGCTGTGAAGTGGAGTATTGGTGATGAATGGGCAGTGGATTTTTGTAGTGACCCATGGGCCATGGTGCAATGCTGGTGTTTTACTGAAAGACCATCCCGTTAGGGTCACTGCACAAAGACGAGTTGCCATTGCCAATTTTATTAATCATATTTCCATGGTATGGTAGAAAAACCTTTTGCTCTCATTCCTCCCAGCATCTCTTGTTGATTTGGTCGCTCAAGTCCAGATTCCAAATCGCTGTGTTAATCTCCCAGATAAGTTATATTGGGCACCAACACCGCAATGCCGCATGGTACTTATTCTGCTTCCTCCTCTAGTATTAGCCTATTAGGGTTTTAATGAGTTCTCAGCCTGCAGGTTCATCTATAGGGATAGCAACGGGGTGGTTTTCGTAAACTCTCAATGCAGTCCATCTTTTTAAATCTCCCAATTTTTATTTGCCCAAAATCCATAGTGGGTTGGATTTTGAGAATCCAAACCCTCTTCATACATAAAAATGCAAAATGTTCTCTAATTTTCTAATTTTTTTTTGTTACATATAAGTAATAAATAAGTAAAATAACACAAACAAATAAGTAGGGGTGGGTTGRATTTAGAATTTGTATCTAATTTTCTATTATTTTTTGTTACATATAAGTAATAAATAAGTAAAATAACACAAACAAATAATAAAATTTCCAAATATTTGATTAAGACAAATAAAAAACACAAACTATCAATAATCCTTCACATAAAATTCAAAATATTATTAAATTCAACAGCTAATATATAAAGCTTATATACTTTCTAATAATGTATAAATTGGGGAGGGTCGGGTTTAACTTAATACCATACCCTATTTATATTTATATGGGTAGTAGAATTCCAAAACTCATCCTTAGACTTAAAAGTAAAAAAAACTGTCCCATTGGAGTGGGTATCCACCGGATAGGACAGAAATTGCCATTTCTATTCATATATTTGGTTCGTATTTGGTGACTCTCTCAGCCTCAGGAATTTCATTCCTTCCCTCAAATTGTTTATTTGGAACTGTGTGAAAATTTTTGCTTCTATTGATAGGACGTTTGTTATTTATTAAGCGGGTATTGAATCTATCTAGAATCATATTTCATGCCCCGGGAGCTAAAGTTATTTGGTTTGGGTCTCAACTCAATTTCCGGCCGATGGAGCGGGAGTAAATACAATTAATGTTGGACCTGTTTCCAATCTGGTGGAATTATGATAAATCTAACCATGAGGAAGAGGGTGGTTTATTTTTCAAAGGCAGTGTGTATATTAAGCAAATATTGGCAATCTCTCAACGAGTTTTTTTTTTTTTTATGGTGTTCAGGTCAATTCAATCTTATTGGTATCATTCCAAAGGTCAATGCCTTGTTAAATTTCTGTTAGCCACTTCTGTCCCCATGACTGCTCCCTCTCCTTCTCCAAGTGAAATAAATATAGTTTCATTGGAGTAGGCCTCCATTTGGAGTAATTAAAATTAAAGTTGATGCAGCGGTGTCTTCTAATAAGGCTTCAACTGGTCTGTTGTTAGGGGTGTAAATGGATCAAATTTGAATAATATCCGAATTCAAATTTGATTTGATATCCGATAGATATTAAAAATTAATAATTGTATTTGAATTCGATTCAAATTCAATTAATAAATTATTTTAGATAATTAATAAATATATAAAATAAATTTTTTATTGATATTAAATATATAAATTATTTATATAATTTAATTATTATATATAAATTATATAAAATAATTTTTATTATATATAAGAATTAAATAATCAGTCAAATTCGGATATTTATCAAATCGAATCAGATCATATCCRAATTCGACCATTAGATATTCGAATTATCCAAATTCGATTCAATTATATCGAATATCAAATTCGAAATTAGATTTTTGAATTCCATTTACACCCTTACTGGTTGTTAGAGACCACAATGGTCGTTTCTCTTTGCTCGTGTATTTGCCATTTACTATGGTTCCCCTACTGAAGTTGAGTCACGGGCTTTTCTTTCTGGCTTTGCACTGTAGCCCGCCAAATGTCCTCTTTCACCCATTTCCCCCTCAACGGATGTGGAGCTGTTAGCTCGTCCTATTAGCTCCCAATTTCATCCAAAACGAAAATTTATCCCCATTCCTGCTCATACTCTCTTAGACTCTCGACCTGCCCTATGTAACCCTCCTGCCCAATTTCACTAGTTGTTAACAGTTGTAGCCAAATCATGAGTTCTGTGTGAGGGAACTCATGGATGGAGGAAGTTTTGAAACATCCATGCCCGTAAAACTGAGACAAATATTTCCGGCTTTCCGGCAAGCCTCCTTTTGGTCTCCATGACTGATAATCATTTCTTCTTAGCTGCTGCAGAGCGCATTGCTTTTAAATGAAAGATGATTCAAAATTCAAATGACTTCTCCTCTCCGATGCATCCACTACTAATGTGTTCTCCAGTCGCAGGGATTTGATTGGCAATTCTCTCCCTTGGATTGCTATATAGAAAATAAATTGTCTGGAGAACAAAATGTGCATGTATTTGAGGGTCCAGCTCAATTGCAGCATGGAATACAGATATGACGGTATAAATCTCATTCAAGCATTGGTTGTCTGTTATCAACCTGAGTTGAAGCAAACCACAACCAAAGGGGGTTAGAATCAGAAGCTACAAATTGAGCATCCACTATTGCTCAGTATTCCAGAAATTAAACTGCACAAAAATGCGATCTAATGTATTAAAGTGGAACTTTCTGCTCCAAAACTAGTCTTTTCTGTTGCACACTTTTAAGAACATATGGTTTGTTCAATTCACAATGGTGATCTGAAACAAGATTCATATTCTAGATCTCTCTCTCTCTCTGAGTTCCTGTTAAGACTGAAAGTGTATTCTTAACCAAGAAATAGTTGATAATTATTGGAAAACCCTGGATATAAATTGTGTATTTGCTTGAAATATTGTGTGAAGTTTGCTAACCATAATACCCACAACAATAAATAAAGAAGAAGGGAAGATATGAATCCATGGCTAAACGTGGAAATAAATTCTGAAGTAGGTATAAGTTGGTGCAAGATCAACAACAATGGATACCATATTCCGTTGTTTGTTTTTTTTTTTTTCATGCATGTGGGGATCGGTTTGTTTCAGAGCGGAGTGTTCAGGTTGAAAAGTTCTGTTCTTTGACGAAGATCATCTGAAGTCTGAACCCTGGAAGAACCAGAGCATTTTTCAGTTTTGCACGCGTGCCAATGTGTTGTAGAGAACATAAACCTCAAAGTACCAAAATCACAAGGAACATCTATCTCAGTTTTACGGACATGGATGTTTCAAAACTTCTTCCATCCTTGAGTTCCCTCACATAGAACTAATGATCCGTGAATATGAGAGAGACGGAGGATACCTCCAGTGTTTCTGCCAGATTTCTCGCCAAGCTCTGATGGAGGAGGTGCAGGGGTTAGAAAGATTGCACAGGGCAGGTCGAGAGTCTGAGAGAGTATGAGCAGGAATGGGGATACATTTTCGTTTTGGGTGAAACTGAGACTTGGGAGCTAACAGGGTGAGGCCGTCCTGTTAATTCACACACGCTGAGGAGGAATTGTGTATGAGATGACACTTGGCAGGCTAAGATCGTGTGGAGGCCATGAGGCGCAGATTTGAACTCCTACTAAACCACTGTTTAATTCACTTTCGTGGAAAAATCTATGATGTGGAAAAGATATGGTATGGGAAGAGTTTTGACCAATCAAGACCCACCCATGAATTGTGTACCACGTTTATGGATAAACACTTGTAATTACTTGTGTAGTAAAGACAAATACCAACAGTATTATAGGAGATTTGCATTTGACACAGCTGATTGCATCATATTTTTAGCTGTTAAATTGGTTTCAGATCCTTTCTTTTTTTCAACCAAAAGTAGTGCTGCATTTTTTAAGCAAGGGTTCGACTATGATATGGAAAAGATATGATATGTAAAAAACTTCTGACAGTCAACTGGGATCGTAAATGTGGTAGCCAATCGGGTGTGATTTGTCAAAATTCATGGGTGGGTTTTGATTGGTCAAAACTCTTCCCATACCATATCTTTTCCCCATCATAGATTTTCCCACATAAAAATGAAAAGACAAAAAAGTACAATTATAGATGTCACAAAAGAAGTTTCAACCATGTTTTAGTCAACCGGCCTCAAATACAAGCTGAGGGAAATAATATATTTGCAAGACAACATACAGAGAGCCAAATCGGAATTACTGGCAGTTTCGATGATCAATCGTTGCCCGAACAACAGATGAAGCAGCCAAGATACGATAAAGCAGCACCAAGCTGAAGAAGAACAGTTGCACACTCATTGTTCACCTTGGAACAAGCTCGGATACAACATAGACAACAACAATCATTAGCCAACTTGCCACAACAGTTTGAAGCTGCCTTGACAAATATCTCCACAGGTTCAATGGAAATTTCACCAGGTTCGAGAGGAGTATTATCTGCAGTTGCAGCCAAGTTTCCAAAGCCCATGCCCAAACTCGGCAAGAGAGTTATATCGTAGCCTTTAGACTTCACCAGCTTTGCAAGGTCAATTTTGTTCAAGATCTGCTCATATGGACTTAAAAAGAACTTATCAGAAGGTTACACCCAACAAAAGTGATACCCTACATCAAATTAAATATAATTAAATGATCTCAAAAGTTTCTGAGTTATTCCATCAGGCAGCTACCAGGCCGGGGTTAGTATTCAAAGACCAAATTGACAACTAAATTCCAAGTATCGATGGTATTTGCAAGCTTGCTCATAATTATTACACCATCTATGGTTCAAAAAATGACAGCTCCTGTGATAGTAGCGGTTCAGCATGGCAGGCATCCAGGCGACAAGGAGTTTTGTAAGGGGCATCTTTATATCATGCCAATTTTGCTTAAGTGTTTAGAGCCCTTTGACACAAGCAAAAGGGCAAGGTGAGCACCTTATCAAGTTATTATATTACTTTGTTTGTTTGTTTGTTTGTTTTTTTTTTTTTTGGGGGGGGGGGGTGCTTCACAATACCTAAAGATTAAAGCCATATAGCATGTACTAGTATGTTCTTCATTGCTAATTTGCTTGGATTTAGTGTGTTGTAGTATATATTTTCTTGAATTCACTATGCTTATTGACTTATTGACTTGTTGATGTGCTTGTTTGTTTGGTTTCATACTAACAAAAATTCATTTTAAATGAATGTGTTTTCATATGCATGCAAAAATCATATCCAATAAATTATGTCTTATTTGTCAAAAACCATACTTAACCGGCACATTGGTTATCTTTATAGGTTTCCTTAAGTTTCACACCCACTATTAAATTTTGAATGCAACATTTTTTTTATCAATTTTTTGAATGCAAATATTCTTTGTATAGACACAAACAATTGGTTGGTTCTATTTCGTGGGAGGCAACATGGAGGAAGGGAGGTTTCAGCAGACTGAGGTTCGAAGAAGATCTCTAAGGGTGGAAGCAAAGCAGTTCCTATTTGAAAGTTACAGGGTGAAAGGGAAGAAAGCTTTAAAAATCAGAGAAATTAATATGGCCATGGTGTTGCTGGTAGGGGAAGAAGCATTGGTGTGGTTTCAGACTTTCATGGAAGATGCTATTCAGGTGAGTAGGAAGTCTGAATACAAAGATTCAATTGAGATTAATGTCAGGAGATATATAGCAGAAAGAAGGGAGAATCCTAAAGGAAGGTACGTGGTGCTTATGGAATTCTTTGGGGAAGGAAAAAAGCAGATAGTCTGCTTCCCTGAAGGTAAGAAGTGGAATGGCTGGGGAGAAGTTTCAGGGATTTTGAAGGACTTCATTACATGGGAGGAAGCTAGAGAAGAGAGTAGAAGGGCGCTAGTAGAAGAAACACAGGGGGTTTATGAAGACTCTACAGTGAGGGAGCAGAAGGAACTGCTAGAAGAGGTAACAGAATGCAGCTCATGGCTCAAGCAGCAAAGGACTGTAGAATGGTTTGCAACATGCACAAGAATGACTGAAGAGAATTGCTGAAGAGTTACTAAAGAAGCTGAAGTTAAACAGTACTATTATTTTAACCCCCTTTGAAAAGTGTAAGGCCCTTCTAGAGTTAGTAGAAGATAAAATGGAACTTCAGGCTGTGTTGTCAATTGGAGTCAGCCTCTGTGACTGTTTCAAAATGGACTCCTCATTCTAACTCTAAGGATCTGCACGCGAGGGACAAAGTAATTGTTTGAATCTTGGGGCTACCATTTCACCTATGGATTTCAAATGTTTTTGTCTCAAAAGCAACCCTGTGCAAAGCAAGGTTAGAGGGATTTTTTGTTAAAGACCTCCATTCAGCTGCAGTATGTTTGAGTAATGTAAACTTGGAAGATATCCCACGTTCAGTAAAGGTACTGGTTGATGGAATCTCTTATTCAGCCTGGCTAGTTACAGCCATTGAAGCTGAGCTATGGAGGGAGGGAAGAAGGGAAGAAGATGAGAAGGTAGAAGAAGAATGGTTATGTGGAAGAAGTCAAGTGGAAGCAGGAAAGGAGAAAGGAAATTACACTGAAATGGCAAAGAAACTGGGGAGAGGAAAAGGTGAACTAAAAGAGGAAGAAGTTTATTAGGCAAGGAAAGAAAGGGATGTGTGAAAGGAAATTACACACAACTGGCCTTATGCTTGAGGCTCTGACTAATGGACCTCGATGTCTGAAACAATCCTAAATTCAAATTTCAAAAGAAGGGGTGGGTCAGCCAGCTGGTATATCAGACTTGAACAGAACTGATCTATTAGGGTCAAAGGTTAATAACCCATCACGAGGCACTTTAAGTAATCGTGTGATGGGTAATAAGAAAAATGGGCCTGGGCTTTTGAAACAGGGGCTGGGTACCTTGAAACATACTTTGGGCCCAGCTGTTGGGCCTCAAAGGGCAGCGGCACATGACATACATAAAGGGCACGTGAGTCCTAAGGACAGACTATTTATGGACGATAATTTTGGTCCATCTTCTTCCCCTTCGATCGAGGCAGTGACAAAAGGAAACCAAAAATACCAGAGGCAGTGTTCGTTGATGCTGGGCAGGGGCGGAGCCAGGGGGTGGCGGAGGGGAGCCATGGCCCCCCCTATGCCTTCAAAATTCCCACAAAACCCATTTAAAAAATAAAAAATAAAAAATTATAATATTATAATATAATATAAATAATAAAAAATAAATTTAAATTATAAAAAATTATAATTATAATATTATACAATTATTAATTATTAGCTTTTGCACCCCCCTATCCATGTTTTCTAGGTTTTGACCCCCCTCAAGAAAAAAATTCTAGCTCCGCCCCTAGATCTGGGTAAGAGTAAAGGGAAAACTTTGGCTTCTCCAGAAAAGCGAAACCCAAAATTTAATAGATGCGATGGTAAAGGTAAAGAGAAGGTGCAGGATCCAGATTCTGAGTTTGAAGAGAGTTCCAGTGAGGGCGATTCAGACTCGAGTGAAWACTCAAGCTTGGGCAGCATAGATTAAACAGTGCAGATTGATACGAACGAAGCAGAGTTTCAACACTGAAGAATTGTTCTTGGAAGAAGAAAAGGAAAAGTCAATCAATACAAAAGAAACAAAGGAATCTGGGTGGGCAGTACATGCAGTCGAAGTTGAGCAGACAACACCCTCCCCTGATATAGAGAGATTACCTCCAATGTTCCAGCAAGAACAGGATGCACAGGAAATGAGTCAAGGGGAGACTTTGAAGATGAGTATGGAGGCAATAGAGAAGGGTGCACTTGAAAAGGTTATTGGCACAACCAGAATTGTTAATAATCCCACTCCCACTCAACACAGGCAAATTTCAGGGGATGATTCTGATATGCTGCGCTCCAAACAGGACTTCCCAACCACATTTTTCTTTGATCCTCATCCAACGTCTCCAAGTGGAATATGCCAACAGAGATATAAATGCTGTTTGACCCATCTACCTTTGCTTTACCAAAGAAGAGGGGAAGAGTTATGTGGAGGTACACTAGAGCAGCAGTGGTGTGGACCTTGTGGGACGAGAGAAATGCCAGAATCTTCCAAGAGAAAGAAAGGAGCAAACAACAAATTATGGAGTGTGTAATGACTAGGGTTATACACTGGCTACAAACATTGGAACTATTCGAAAATTTCACATTTGATGATATTTGGAGGAATTGGCCTTTAGTGGCTTCTAGCTTAGTGCAGAAGGTTAAGGCAAGGTTGGCTTGGACACCTCCCATTGAAGGATTTCTGAAACTAACTTCAATGGGAGTAGTCAAGGCAACCCAGGCCTAGCTGGAATAGGAGGGCTCATCAGAGACAAGGAAGGAAATTTAAGAGCACTCTTCTCAGGACCGGTGGGGAATGGAGACTCCTTAAAGGCAGAATTGTACACAGCCCTACAAGGAGTACAGATTGCAAGAGAGTTAGGATTGGAAAATTTGGTGATAGAAGGGGACTCCAAGGTGGTGGTGGGTTGGCTAAAAAACCCAGATTCAGTGATTTTGGTTTACAGAAATGAAATGAAGAAATTCAAATGGATACTCAGCAGATAGATGTAACTATACAATGGGTGGGGAGGGAGGCAAATGCTTTTGCTGATTCTCTAGCTAAACAAGGAGTAACTAGAGAGCAGTTGTACTGGGCCCACTTGTAACTTTATGATGTTTCTGTATTAATGAGTGAGGCTGCATCTTGCCTCATATTGGGATGCTTGTAACAGACTCTTTATCATTTGCTTCTAATGAAATCCATTGAATTTTTATCTATCAAAAAATAAAGAAAAATTGAATGCAACATTAATCTGTACATTTTCTACCAAATGAAAATTACACTATCACAGGAACCCACCGCATTGACCATGAAGTAATCTCTATACAATTTTTCATGGGTCAAAGATTTCCATTGTGAAAGGTAATTTTGGAATTTTAAAGTAGCAAACAATCACAGGAATGAAAAAAGAGGATTCTTCTTCAAAATGGTAATGATTCCTGAGGTTAAATTTGGACGGTGAAACAGAACTAAGGTGGCAGAACACACGACCCATAACTTCAGCTGCCACTGCAAAAAATTTGTTGTTTTCGTTCAACATAATAAAAGTTAATAATTAGTATTCCCTGTCTCCATGGTGCCAACTGTCAACATCATCATGATTTGCCTTATCCCATTTAAGTGGTTTTGGCAGCACGGACCCTTCTCCTTCCCCAAGCTATATCCTAACCTAAGGTCATATCTTCTGTGAAAGAGTTAAAACAACTGCAATATAAACACTATTTGAAAAAAAAAATGTTGCATACTCTATTTCTTTTAATAAAGTACTAAAACCATCAACATAATTCCAATAAAATTGTAATTCAACAATGCATTGGGAAACACTTACATATACTGATAAATTATTCGATTCTTGACATGTCCTAACACATACAATATTCTTTGCAGTACCTACTACCTAAAGCCTTCCACTACATAAATTATTTATAATATAGAAACCGCATCTACCTTTTAACTGCAAAAGTACAAGCTTCCTAATTGCAAAATTTACAAACTTCCTAACAGATAGGGGCTGGTTTTTTTTTTGTTGCTGGCTGCTCAAAAAGGAACTGGGTGTTCTAACAGTATATGTAACTTATAATTCATCAAACCAGCATATTTCTATGGTACTTCATAAGAACTTACCTCTTCTGATCCAAATGATTCTGTCACTTTCTTCCCTATTTCAGTCTGAAGTAAGACCATACGTGTATACTCAGATGGAAAGCCAATCCGTAAGCTCATTTTTGCAACCTGTGGGATGAAATGAGGAAGGCTTAAGCAAAGCAACCACATCTACCATAAAGGCAACATACAACCAATCCAACCAAATGGTTTGCAATAGATCCCCTCAAAGTCTGGATGATCCCAGACTGAGATATGCATTATGACTATTTCATTTGTAGACAAATTGGTCTGCAGCAGCTGGGTTGCTTATGATCTCAAAAGTCAAAACCATCTTTAATTCTTCTTTTTCCTTTTAAGGCCAAGGATATCGCTGATGGCTCAGCTTGGACTACTGATCAGAGAACAATCTACCCCACAGATCAGGTTGACTTCCAAACTCTGGGCTATGTTTTAAAACATGACGAAGAGGAACACTCTAATCAAGATACCAGGCAGGAAGGACCTTTGCAATACATATGGCATATAAAATCTCCATTAAGTACAAGAAAAGGTCCAGCAGATGATCCTAAAAAAGTCAATCATTAGAAGTCACACAACCTTTTGGATGGGCATCGGAAGATACGCCGGTTGAGAAAAAGTTTAGAGATTGAATTGCAGTCACAAGATCAAGATAATTTGTAATTTAGAAAATTTCTTAGGTGGCATAGATCAAGTAATTGTCACAATTGCACTGGGAAAGCACCGTGTATATGCCACAACTAAGGGACAATTTCTTTTCATATCCTTTTTTCTCAAACTTTCATCCTCCTCTATAACACCATTCTATTTATGAATGTTAATAATTTCCACTTTAAATAGGGAGGAGCATTATGTATATGCTACAGATTTTAGTTATAATGTTAGTATTTGGTCCAACCAGTTACCTGACTATTTTATTATTTTTCAATCTTCAGCACATGGATCTCCCTCCCCCCCAAAATAAAGGAAAAAGATAAAAAAATGGAATGGAAGAAACTGAAAAGAAGACCTTCTCTTCAATAGGTTTGCTCTCTGAGAACCATGCTTGAGTAGTGAGTAAATCAATTTGATTCTTAGCAGAAACCTGTTCAGATAGACAAAAGTTAAATCAAGGAATTGGATATATTCAATTTTCTACCTTGTGAGTTAATTTTCTTTTTTTTCCTCATCATGATCAATTAAAAAGGAAGCAAGTTGAAAAGCAAAATATGTTACCCAAGTATGTCTAGGACATGGATAGATTTGGTGTCAGATAGAGAATTTACACAAAAAATTGAAGTATATGACATGATAAAACACCCATGTACAGTTGGTGTCATAGAAATCAAGTGCTCAAGCAAACAAGTCACCAACCTATTCTAACACGAGCAGTTACGGGTGGTCACCTTACATGACTGATCTTTCACATACTAACAAATACTTTCCAAATCATTTTCCATTTAAAAATAGTGACTGCAAGTAATATGATGCGACAGACAAATGAATAGAAGTTCAACATAAACAAGCGTTATGCTTATGCGCTTGGAATATTGCCATAAACATCAGTAAGCCAGTGTAGAATTAAAGCCACTTGAACCAAGAATGTAAAACTACTCACCTGGCCAAAGTATTTGTCAGAATAAAAAAGAAGCAACAGATACACCATAGTAAAGTCAACAATCAACAATCAAGTATATTAGAAACAAACTAAGAATAATATTTTCTACTCATTTTCAAATGGACCCTATTTTTTTCTTAAGGAATTATATCTCCTAAAACCAAAGGCATTCAGAATTACAGAAAGAAACGAAAAGATCTATTTAGTGGACAATATATGATACACTGAACATGAAGGCAGCAAAAGAAATCTAATTAATGTCTCACAAAAAATATGAAGCCGTGACAGTTTAAGTAACAATACTACAAAACAAGATTAAATAAATAAAAAATAGAAAGATAAAAGACCAACAATACTAAATAGAATTTCAAACTATATAACTTTGAACAAAGTGTATGAAAATACCATGATATGAAGTTATTTGCCTCATAGAATCACAGATTAGCCTCATAAAATGCATTTTATGGCTTATACCTTGAGGTTCATCCCTAAAATGTGGATGAAAGAAAACATACTGAGGCTCAACCTTAAGTCTTATAATGTCAAACTATGAGGCACAGGCCTCCATGTAATGCAGCATGTGATTTATTTCATAACTTCTTTTAACTATTGTTGACACTGAGGATCAATATTTTTTCATACAAATTTATGATTGAATATTACTCTTTTAAAGTTCAAATAAAAGAAAATAGAATCTTAGTTGAGGTGTTTTCTGCATTTTTATTTATTTAAGGGAAAATTCCACTTTAGTACCCTGAACTTTGGGGGTAGTGTCTTTAGTACCCGAACTTTCAAATGTGTCACTGCAGTACCTAAACTTTCAAAAAGTGTCAAGTTGGTCCCTGCCATTAACCGACCGTCAGTTATCTGTTGAAAATGTCAAAACTACCCTTCAAAAGAAGAAACTGTTCATTGTCTTCTACCTTGAGACTGAACCAGTTATCTTCAAAGAAAAAGAAAGAAAAACATGAAATATGGAAACAATAACTGAAAGCAAATAAATAACTAAACAAGAATGTGTTTCAGATCTAAAGGTAGAAGACAATGACTTCATTAGTCTAGAATCTCAAACACCTCAACTGGTTCAGTCTCAAGGTAGAAGACAATGAACAGTGTCTTCTTTTGAAGGGTAGTTTTGACATTTTCAACAGATAACTGACAGTTGGTTAACGGCAGGGACCAACTTGACACTTTTTGAAAGTTTAGGTACTGCAGTGACACGTTTGAAAGTTCGGGTACTAGCTTGACACTATCCCCAAAATTCAGGCACTAAAGTGGAATTTCCCCTTTGTTTAAATATGGTTATGCCACTTGTAAATATAGAAGTATGGTTTCTCAATTGATTTTGTTTAATACTTGTTCCCATTTGAATTCATATTTCTATGAGAATAAATGAAGTCTGAGGTTTAATAACATGCCTTGAGGCCTATACCTCAAGCATTTGAAGCACATATTATTTTGCCTCGATACTTTGCCTTCTAAAACATTGACATGGATTTTACTTTAAGACATAACTTCAATAGGATAAATCAGGTTCACAAGTCAGCACCTTACTTTGTCTAGAGGGATATCCTTGGATTTTTGCACCTTCAAATCTATTGTGAAACTGCTCATGTCCCCCAAAATACCTCTGACTTTTACAGGATGAGGAAAACTCCCTTGGTATCTACCTGATACAATCAATGGACATCCAGATAAAAGGTCTGGAAGATGGTAGGGGTACACCTATGATCAATGAAGGGATGGACACCAATCAGAAAATGTGAAGAAAGAGATGAATCAAATGCATCAAAACGGAAAAGTACATTGAAAATCTTAGTGAACTAAATAAAATAACATGTTTTAGTACATAGAAATGGGTTCAATCCAAATCTTTTACATTCTTGCAATTATCTAAAAGGAAGATATGGAAATCCAATGAGGAAATGCATGTAAAATATAAAAAACAAATTATTCCAATCTTCCCAAAGATCAGTTCAACTGAAATGCTTATTTGAGGTCATCCTATGCAAAATGTGGTCAATATACAGAAAGAAGCATTATGCAAAACTAAAACAGAGATAATGCAAGTAATATTATCTTAGATCAATATAAAAAAATATATAAATCAAGTTGACACAATATTGACCCGCTAATTTCATTTGATGAGCATCTCCTAGCAAATATGGTAGTTGTTAAGGGATAAAGAGATACATAAAATGTTCAAAATTGCCCAAACAAAGCAGATACTAAAGATGAAACTACCTCAAGTCCATCAAGTTGCTCCAAAGCATCAATACTAATATTTGCAAGAATAATAGATGAAGCTGTACCAAGTAGTTTTTGCAATTGAGCATATATTAAATCTGCATCCAAAAAAAAAACCATAATTAACTTTGCTTTTCAAGAAGTCTTTTAATATGTAAGATTGGTATTATCAAGATCTATATTGTAGTGACATGCATTTTTTTTATTGGATATAAGTTTGGTCTGACCTGAGCCCAATTAATAAACCAAATTTAAGTAGGTAAAGAAAGGGTTGAATAGTGCAGCAACCTAACAACCCAAACCTGTGTTGTATTTGTTTATGTGTGTATATTTGTGCCTAGTGTTATCATGTTGGGTATTTATTTAGATACTAGTAAAAAATAAGAACAAAATCATTGACTTGATGACAGATGAGTTGCATTAATCAAGGTTGTCAGTTGATGTCTCTCAGACCTCTTTCAAATGACAACTCATCCAAAATACTTTTTCCTGRTCATTTAGATCAGTTTCGACTTTATTACCCAAGGGACTTCTCTTTAATATTCAAAGTTTTTGGTCATTTACATCATAGGAAAGTTGTTTCGAAGGATAGGCAAAAGAGTTTGTGTGAGTAATTCAATTTGACCACCTTGAGCAAAATAGCTTTTGTTTTCCTTTTCTTTAATATAAAATAAATATTACAGCAAAGTAAGTGGGATTAATGAAAAAACTGATAATAATCTAGATGTTCTGGTACGTGCCATGGTTTTGAAATAGAAAGGAATTTTGTCAGGTTTGAAGAATGAAAGTTTGGATCTTCACAATACTTCTATTTGAAAATAAATGTAAAGCTTGCAATAGGTCAATAGTTGCTTCCCAAGGGATTTTTCAGAGCATGTGTTTTTAAAGTCCTAATAAATGGATACATTCTGCAGGGACCTTAATTTTATTCCCATAGATGAAAAAACCAACAAAACACAACTAAAATGCAAAATGTATGCTTGTAAAGCATTATTTAGAACTTGCAATACTGCACAGCATCATGAACACTAGAACTCCTAAATAAAACTCAAAATGAACGAATACAACTATGCTACTGTTATAAAATGAGTACTGACCTATATCATATGCAGCATCATAATGACCCCGGCCTATTAGTGCAAGCATTTGCAAAAAGTAATGATTACAGTATGCACCTGGATTTTTCCCCACAATACAAGTCAGTCAGAAGAACTAAAAATGAAAATATTCCAGAAAAAGATTTCAGCATGCATCTATGTCTTAAAAGCAAAAAAGAAAAGTAACAACAGATTAGGCTCCAAGATCTCTAGCATTATAAAGGGCACATGCAAGCAACTTTTTTTATAGCCTAAGCATACAAAATGGGACTTAGCCTTGGGGGTTTTTGTAGACGTTTTAGTTCAGCTCCACCACAGAATTAATAGTTCCTGGATATTAGTCCATGTTTAGGCTTGTGTCTTGGTTATGCTGGCCCTGATTAATGTGTGCTGGCATGGGCCTAGCTCCTAGATACCCATCTAGATCAGCAAAGCCTTTCCTAGTACATTAATGTCTTGGTTATGCTGGTAGGATTGTTATGGTTAACTAAGTTATTTAAAAAGATAGTGAAAGAAAAGAAGATGCTTGATGATTGAAGAGACAGTAGTATGGTGTCTATATTTAGGAAAAAGCGGTGATATACAAAGTTGTAATAACCATTGGCTATAAAACTTTGGGAGAGAATAATTGAACAAAAATTATGGCTTGAAACAAGTGTATTAGAAAACTAATTGGCTTTATGCAAGGAGACCAACCATGGAAGTAAGGGTGGCAATTTTTCACCCAACCCGCTGAGGCGCTGAACCCACCCAACACACCCAGTATCTAACCCACCCAACCCGCTCATTTATTTGGCGGGTTGGAAATGGATTGATCACCCATTGGATCAATTTAAATGGGTTGGGTTGTGGATAACCATTGGGTTAACCACTAAAGATATAAGTATTAATTCCTTAGCCATTTTCTTAATTTTCTTCATTTGAATGAAATAATTTATAATTAATGCATTAATTTTCTATTAATTATTGACTAAAATTAGTTTTGTCTCGAATCAACACACTTCACCAAAATCAACATAAATCCAAATCAACTTGACCCGAGTTTAGACCAGCTCAACTTGGTCTAAATATGAACAGGCCCGATCACCTCAGGTCGGTTCATTTGGGTTAGTCAGCCCAGTCCAAACCTGACCCGGGACAAGCTGATTTGGGTCGACCCGAATCCAAAACAGGACCGGGACCGGGAAATCCGCCCACTTGCTTTGCCCGGTTTGGATCGCCCGGTCTGGTTCGTATTTGTACAACCCGATCCGAATCCGAACCGGTCCAATTTACTACTATCGACCCACTTTGGGCCAATCGGTTCAATCCCAAGCCCATGTGCAAACCTGATGTGGGCCGGTCCAAGTCAATCCGCCATTGATTGAACCGGTCCAGTTTGGTCCAATCGGACTGATCTAAACCTAAACGGTTCAACCACTTCTTGATGTGATTAGCTCAAAGACAATTCAATTAGATAGTTCAAGTTGGTCTGACCAGTTTGAACCTAAGTGGTTCTGTCAAACCCGAAACCTGAACATAGTCAAATGGCTTCGTCGCTTGTAAAAATAACATGCATGTAATGTGATTTGAACCTTCACCACTTGTGTAAATAGCAACTACTATTACCACCAAGCTATGACCAACTTATTTGTCAAGAGGGAGTTAGTTTTTTGTTTTAAGTACTTAAATATAAGATTAATGGGTTTGGGCAGGTTGAATTGGGTTAAAGCGGGTTTGGGTTGAACCCAAACCATTTAATTTTATATAATTGGGTCATTAATGGGTTGGCGGGTTAGATGGTTTGGGTTGAAACTCAACCCAAACCAAACCCAACCCAACCCGCCCAATTGCCACTGCTACATGGAAGCTATATTTCTTTTGAGATGATTGATAGAAAAGTTCAAAGATAAGAAGAAGGATCTTTATATGGTGTTCATTGATCTAGAAAGTACATATGATAAGAGTTCCTTGAGARATTTATTTTGATAATCAAGTTCCTAGAGAGATAATATGGTGGGTAATGGAAAAGAAAGGGATTCAAAATAGGTGCACAGACCTAATTAATGAAGAAATCTTGTCTAACTGCCTACAATTAATGTAATACACATTTTTCCCTCTTGCTCGAAAATAAAATGTCTAATAGAATATATATTCATATTTCCCGAAAAAAAAGAGCGTCTAATTTTCATCACTTGAAAAGCAAAGAAATGTAAATGCCAGGGGTTTGTGGCTAGAGACCGGTGAGCAAAGGAAATATATGGTCCATCTGTGATCTCTCATCTCCAACAACTGCACAAGTTTTTCTTTTCCACCCATCAATGATTCTAATTCCTTTCCCCTCTAATGATTCAGTTCAGAGAGGTTATAGATCTTCCCTATTCTTTCATAATCATAAGAGATAGATGCCCTGATGTCTTTCATATGAAATCAGGAAAACCATGAATTTTCTCTTTCCATAATTATTTAGTGCTGATTGAATTAAATTGATTTTTTTTTTACATTAAAGTTTCCCTCTTTTTGAAATTGCCAAAATTTGATTGAAATATAAAGAAATTCGACCAGTGTTTTAAAAGGCGTGGGAGGCATACGCCTGGAGGCGCACTTCTAGGCGAAGCGTTCCCAAAACACCCTGAGGTGTATGCCAGAGGCGCTAACACCTCTGAGGCATTTACCTCAGGTGCAAGAGGCGTACGCCTCTTGTGCTTTTTTCATGAGGTGTGCTAGAGGCGTACGCCTCATTGTTAAGGGCCCGCGAATAGGATCTTGTCACAGGTCGGTTAACGGGGAAAACTTCTTGTTTTCCCTTGTTTCTCCCTTTTCTCGAGGAACCTATCTTTAGCGCCTTAATGGTGATTTGTTAAAGAGATCACCAACTCTCCTCTGCTCTTTCTTGACTGAAAATATCGATAATTTTATTGAATATCATTTGCTCCTTTAAATAGGAAATTACAAGAAGATAAGAGTCCTTCTTTAGGAACACTTCCTAACAACATTTATCTTTAAATAATAATAATGCTACTACCTAATTAATAGGAACACTGGATTTAGCTAAGAAATAAGATAGGGACACTGAATCTAGCCAAGAGATAAGATAGGAACACTGAATCTAGCCAAGAGATAAGATAGGAACACTGAATCTAGCTAAGAGAAAAGATAGGAACACTGAATCTAGCTAAGAGATAAGATAACACTGAATCTAGCTAAGAGATAAGATAGGAACACTGAATCTAGCTAAGAGATAAGATAGGAACACTGAGTTAATCGCCCATTATTGTTGTTGTCCATTAAACACTGAATTAATCGCCCATTACTGTTGTTGTTTGCGGCTGTATTTCTTTCCACAACATTACTCCCCTCCTGAACTAAGAGCTTGTCCTCAAGCTCGAATTCAGGATAGGTGTCCTGAAACACAGTCAAAGGAATCCAGGTAGCTTCAGCCAATGGTAAGCTGGCCCATTTCACCAGAACCTCAACAACACCTCGATTAATTCTGGAACGAACAATAGACTGAGGTCGGGGAATGATTTTGCCCTCCTGGATCGGGTTCCAATGAAGAGGGTTCATCCTCCTCTTGTTCCACCAGGAGGCAAAAAAGTCTCTTGCACTTGTACCCTACTGAGTAAAGTTCATCACAATTAAAACACTGTCCCCTCGCCCTGCGTCCCACCATCTCAGCCCTGGACAAGCGCTTAATAGGGGATGCAACAACGTTGTTTCCCACACCGGATGCCGATCTGGAATTGTTGCTCGTCTGTGGTTTCTGTTCTTGGCTAGCTACTGAAGATGGAACCATTCCGAGTGGTTTCGGGGCTGCCCATGTTGTTTGAGGCCGCCCTATACTGATACTTCCGTGGTTGAGTTGCAATTTGCGTTCAAAAGCGCGAGCCAAATTCATAGCAGTAACCAGATTGGGGGGATTTTGCATCTCCACATCCACCCTCAAAGTTTCCGCTAACCCCGCGGTAAACATGTCAACCTGTTGGTCTGGTCGTACCGAAGATGCTCTTGCAAGGAGGGTCTGAAACTGACGCTGATACTCAGCCACAGTTCCAGTTTGTTTGAGATTGACTAGTTCGCCTAATGGATTGCTTGTTAATGGGGGTCCAAATCTGAGAAGGTAGTAGGATTTGAATTGGGTCCAACTGAGCCCAGGTTCCTCCTGCTCCAATTTATAAAACCAGAGTTGCGCCCCCTCTGTTGTGTGGAATGCGGCTAAGCCTACCTTGTCCCTGTCCTCTGTCCGTTGGTTGCGGAAGAACTGCTCACATCTGTACAGCCATCCCAAAGGATCTCCAGCTCCATTATAGGAAGAAAATTCCAGCCTGCTGTATTTGGGAACGATTGTGGTTCCCTGGGCCACGACCTGTTGCTCGCCAGACGATTCTGCCATGTCTGGTCGGCGGTCGCCTGTGGTTGCAACCCCTTCTGAACTCTTTTCCTTGCTGGAAAAATATAACTCCATCAAGCGCCTCAATTCTCGGACGTCGTCCTTGATCTCGCGCACCTCCTTGCTGTTTTCCACGAGTTTGTGCTCCAAATCATGAACCCTAGTCTTCAATTGCTCAAAATCACCCATGACGCCCTACTCTGATACCAAATTGTTAAGGGCCCCGCGAATAGGATCTCGTCATAGGTCGGTTAACGGGGAAAACTTCTTGTTTTCCCTTGTTTCTCCCTTTTCTCAAGGAACCTATCTTTAGCGCCTTAATGGTGACTTGTTAAAGAGATCACCATTAAGGCTGAAAATATCGATAATTTTATTGAATATCATCTGCTCCTTTAAATAGGAAATTACAAGAAGATAAGAGTCCTTCTTTAGGAACACTTCCTAACAACAGTTATCTTTAAATAATAATAATGCTACTGCCTAATTAATAGGAACACTGAATTTAGCTAAGAAATAAGAGAGGAACACTAAATCTAGCTAAGAGGTAAGATAGGAACACTGAATCTAGCTAAGAGATAAGATAGGAACACTGAATCTAGCTAAGAGATAAGATAGAAACACTGAATCTAGCTAAGAGATAAGATAACACTGAACCTAGCTAAGAGATAAGATAGGAACACTGAATCTAGCTAAGAGATAAGATAGGAACACTGAGTTAATCGCTCATTACTGCTGTTGTCCATTAAACACTGAATTAATCGCCTATTACTGCTGCTGTCCATAACTGCTGCTGTTTGCGGCTGTATTTCTTTCCACAACACTCATGTGCCTCATGCACATCTGATATAAAAAGACAAAAAAAAAAGAAAAAAGAAAAAAGAAAAAAAAAAGGAAAGGAAAGGAAAAGAAAGGGAAGTGAAAGAAAAAGAAAGAGAAGAAAAAAAAAAGAGAAGGAAAGAAAAGGAAAGAAAAGGGAAGGGAAGACCCCCCCCCTTTCAACTAATGTTATGCATCTTTATTCTTCTTAATATAAAATATTTTTATTAAAAATAAAGAAAAAATGAGATCCCCCTTCCTCTTCATCCTCCTCCTAACCCCCCTCCTTTCAAGGAGGCTTGTGTTCGGGAGGCTTACACCTCTTGCGTTCTGAACTACGCCTCACGCCTCTAGGTAGTGGAGTGCCTCGCGTCATGCCTCCGCGTTTTAAAACATTGGACCAAACATTATACTTTCAAATTCATGCTTCAACCCCACCAGAACCAAATTGTTTTGATCAAACTAACTCGGTTCCAACTGAAGCTTAAAACCATGCATTCAACCACTAAAAAAGGCTTCAATATCAATAAATTAGCTAAATAGGACCATTGATTCTTCACATTGGAATTTGGACCTTCTAATGTAAGAAAGGGCAAATTCTACTGATGTTCCCTCGCATAGAGAAACGTGAAATAAATAATAAGGTGCATGAGATCCAGCAACCTTTTGATCCACTTAATGAATGATGGACAATAAGAACACGTGGAGAAAGGTCATAAGCATTGAATGTAGAAGATATTTTAAAACAAGAGAAACGTGAGTGGAATATAAGATACAGTGACAAAGAACAGGAAATAATAACACTCCACCACACCACACGGGCTTTCACTGAGCATGAAATGCCTAATGACCTCTTTGGCATGTCTGAAATTTCAGTCTCTGTTCTCTGCTTGGATCAATTTTCTTCAGATGGAGTCATCCTCATAGTTCACTTTTAACAAGGTATAACTTAGGCTAACATGTGCTAGATATTAATTCATCCTCATAATTCACTTTTAGGAAAATATATACAGTCCAACCTGTGCTAGGTTAGTAGATTAGTATTGAGTCATCCTCATAATTCACTTTTAGCAAGGTCTAATGCAATCCAACCTGTGCTAGGTTAGTCTTAAGTACATCAGGATCAGATTTGGCTTCTGTTGATYCAAACTTGGGTTGGTCAGATTACAGCTGGCATTCCAGTTCCTGGGTTGGGTTTAGTTGGTTCCAAACCTGCCTGAGCTCTCCCATTGTCATAATGGTGACTCTTGACACAAGTATATGCAGCATGTTTCTTACAAAGAACCAGCATCAAGACGTCCACATTTGTGAATATATCTCATGTCTCTATATGTCCAGTTATACAAAAAAATGGTGACTCTTTACAAGTATATGCAGCATTTTTCTTAAAAAGAAACCAACATCAAGATGCCCAAATTTGTGAACATATCTCATGTCTCTATGTTACAGTTTTCAATTACTATTTAACAAGTTTAGATGATAAAAAAAAACAATTACAGAAATAGGCCAACAATGTTCAGTTCTTTATTTTTCATTTATTTCATGAAGAATGGATCCACAAATACCCATTTATGAGCCAACATTCAATTCAAGCTTTGCAAACTTGCAAAATGTTCCTGACAAACAAATCAAATACAATAAGCATGGCTCACAAAACTAAAGAATGAAAATTACATATCTTACTTTCATAAAACTAGCAATCATTTGATTACTGGTAAAACAAGATCTTAGCTAAGAAAAATATTTATTATATCATAAAGCATTAATACATTGTATATGCATGAATCTTGTGAAACAAATAACCATGTTAAAGAAAGTTAGGCGACAATAGTACCCTGGAAACAAGAAGTGAAACCTAAAGATTAGATGCTTACCAATGCCAAATGTAGAAATCCGTGGTGACATAGATCCTCTATTTTTCAGTTTAGTTTTCATAACCTCACAAATGTGTCTTTCATCCTCAACAGACCCATCAGTAATTAGGAAAATCAGAGGAATTGAATCACAAGTTTTGGATAACATCTCTATTGCCTGAGGAAACAGATAAAACAGAAATTACGGATATTTCCTTTGGACTTTATGTCAATGAAGGATTTGGGTGAGAATATTAAACTATTAATGATGCAGCAAACAAAAATAAGTATAATGAACATTTTTTTATGGTAAAAGAAACAGGTTGACTGGAATTGATTAAAAAAAAAAAAACAGGTTGACTGGGGTCCTGATTGGCATGCAGCAACAAGCAGTGAAATTGCTTATCTTGTTGAAAGGTTGAAAGATCTGCAAGAGGCCAATAGAAAGATAGGCTATTCCACAAAAGAGGGCGGTTCCCAATGTAAGAAGGATGTTGTATTCTTGGTCACAGAATGTAGGTGAGAAGATGACATAGTTGTAGGGGAGGAGAAGAAGGAGGTGAATGTCCATGTAAAGGAAGTGGGTAAGTTGCAGGAAAGGATGAGGGTGTTGTATGTTAGCTTGGTTGGCAGAATAGTTGGGAAAGAAATGGAGGTTGAGAAAGTTGAAGCTTGGGCAGGGTTAGAATAGGGAAGAGAGAGGGTTAAGGGGGTGAGGAAGTTGAACAGAGGTCTGTTACTTTTCATGTTCCACAATAGGAAAAAAGCAAAGTGGGTATTGGAATATGAGAGTTCAAGAAAGAGAAGCTTTGATCTGCACCCTGGCTGGTGGTTCCTGGCGGCCGGCGAAGTGTCTGTAGGTAGAAGGAGATGAGCAGTGTGGATTGGGGTCATCGACATTCGTTTTTTTTATGAACAAGAATCATTTTATTAAGTCAGGAACTGATTTGCATCGACATTCCTTTACATTATTTTAACATTCGAAGAAATAGGCAACAGGTGTCAAAGATTTTTGAAGTACGATGACAAAAATCGATCATAGGAGAAACTGGACATGGCGAGAATCATGATCAAGGTAGAGGATGCCTCTGCTATCCCCTACAAAATGAATCTTAGTTTTCCAGGTGAAATATATGGCCTAAGAGTGATAGTAGAAGGGGAAGATGTAATGTTTTTAGGAGGGGGGAGGAGGTGTTGACAAAAGATCAGAAGAAGGTAGAAGAAGAAGAAGGGGATGAGGGGGAGGGGTTGCTGATTCAGGTGCAGAGGTTTAAGGCAGTAGAGTAGACAAGGAGACGGGAGGAGAGGGAGTTGAAGAGTCGGGTTGTGGGAGAAAAGGATGAGGTAGCAGTGGAAACAATAAGAGATGGATGAGTGGCTATCCTGAATTTAGGTGGAAGGGTGGAAGGTGTCCATGTGGAGCAGGAGAGGTTTAAGAAGGGTGAAGACCAGTGAGCGGTAAGTGATTCTCATATTAAAGATTTTAAATGTAGAGACTTCCGCTTAAAGAAGATGGGTAAGGGTTTTAAGAAGTTCAACTGGCACAAACAGTTGCAGGTTTTAGGGGCATTTTTGGAAAAGATAGGTTGGAATCAAGTGTTAGGAGAAGATGAAAAGATAGAAGGAAAAACTTAGCCTTGGAGAGCTCATCAAATGAGTGGGTCTGGGTGACTGAGATTTAAGGGAGAGAAGAAGATAGTATTGATTGATCGTGGCGAAGCAAAGCTATATGGGAGGAGCAATGTATGCACACTTGGCCAGAAGCTGGGAGGATCATTGGGTTTTGATGAGAAGTGGATTTGCAAGATTGACGTCTCAACCAAGGATAGGAGGGCATCTCCTCGTTCCAGATCACTTCGCAGTCTATGGTACAGTGTCAGGAGTCTAGTATTGATAACGGAAGAGGAGTGCTGAGGAATGCAGAGATTGAAGATAGGGAGGAAGGAAATGCTAACAAGGTGAACTATTCAGCGGCAACAGGAATAAAGGAGAATGTTGAGGCTCACTCAAGAGCATTAGAGATTGTCGCTTGTCTGAATATTGGGGTAAGTCCGATTCCCTTATCTGAGCCAAAGACACTGGAGGAAGCCAATAGGATAAGAGGTGATCAGAGTTGAAGAGGAGGGTGAGAGGGGAAGCAAAAGAGAGAGAAAGACTCACAATTTGGAAGAAAGTTGGAGACAACATAAGAGTTTACAGCAGAAAAAGAAGGATAAATTTTCAAAGAGATAATGAAGATGGGAATGGGAAGGGGAAGGTGAGAGAACTGGAGGACTTCAGAGAGGGGATTAAGGAGGGGAATGAGGAGGTTGTGGATCTCAAGCGAGAAGAGATTCCAAAAGAGGATGGTGTAGGGAAGAAGAGGGTGGGAATTGAGAAACTAGTGGTGAGACAGGTGGAGGTGGGTAAATCTCTCAGTTATTTTTATTTTTATTATTTTTTTGGAGAGGGGAAAGGGTGGTGGTTACTGTCTGTATTTGTCTGTATTCAGTTCTATAGAAGAAGAAGAAGAAGAAGAGAATAGAAGAAATGGGTGGCACACCTCTCCAGCCCTCCAAGACAACTTTTATACTAGGGCAATAAGAAAGGGATACAATGACAAATCTGCCCCTGATTAGTAGACAGTAAGAAAACATAAAAACAAAGTAGGCCCAGGCCCATTTAGCCCAAGAAGGAAGTTACACAAGTAAATGTTATGAAATAACATAAATAGGCCCAAGCCCACAATGCTAGGCTACACAACACTCCCCCTCAAGCTGAGCATAGATATCTATCATACCCAGCTTGCATAATAGCTCCATAAATCTGGATTTTGTGAGTCCTTTAGTGAAAACATCAGCTAGTTGTTTTGTTGATGGCATGTAGGGAATACAAAGTTACTCCAGAGACAATCCTTTCACGTGCAAAATGTCTATCTATCTCGAAATGCTTCGTTCTATCATGTTGGACTGGGTTATTTGCAATGTTAATTGCAGCTTAATTGTCACAATAGAGCTTGAGTGGTCCAGCTATATCTATTCCCAATTCCTTTAGGAGGATTCGAAGCCAAAGAAGTTCAGCAACACCATGAGCCATGGCTCTGTATTCAACTTCGGCACTTGATCTTGCCACAACAGCCTGCTTCTTGCTTCTCCACGTGACCAGATTTCCACCCACAAAGGTGCAATATCCTGATGTAGATCTCCTGTCTCCACGGGAACCAGCCCAATCAGCATTTGTGAATGCTTCAACTTCTATTTTGTCATGCTTCTTAAATAATAATCTTTTCCCAGGACATGACTTGAGATATCTCAAGATTCTCAATATTGTTTTCATATGTGAGACTTGTAGGTTATGCATGAATTGGCTAACTACATGGACTGAATATGCAATATCCGGCCTAGTGAAAGATAGATACAACAGTTTTCCAACCAATCGTTGATATCTTTCTTTGTCAGGATAAGGTTCCTCATCACCTCCTTGCAATCCATGATTTTGCTCTATGGGAGTGCCGGTAGGTCTGATTCCTAACTTCCCGGTCTCCTTCAACAAGTCAAGAGCATACTTTCTCTGACATATGTAAATCCCTTCCTTGGATCTAGCCACTTCTATTCCCAAGAAATATCTCAAGTGCCCTAGATCCTTGATTTCAAATTTTGAGGCTAAGAAACCTTTTAATTCCATAATTTCCTTTGCATCATTTCCAATAACCACCATATCATCAACATAGACAATCAGAGTTGTCAACTTCTCACCATCCCTCTTATAGAACAATGTATGATCTGCACCACTCTGTTTGTACTCTATTTCCTATATTGCTCCGCACAATATCTCAAACCATGCTCTTGGGGTTTTTTTGAGCCCATACAAGGCCCTTTTTAGTTTACACACCTTTCCTCTCATGTTGATCTGGACACAAGAGAAAAATGAGCCTTCATACCCAAAACTCTAGATGGCATCCTGTTTATGAGATAAGATGCAGTGAGAACAATGAGACCAGAATTTCTTTGGCACCCTGTTTTGAAACAAGAGAGCACGAACAGTTTCCAGTAGATGTTTATTTTTCCTCTCTGCAACTCCATTCTAGTGTAGAGTGAAGCTGCAAGAGGACTGATGCAATGTTCCCTCATCTTCAAAAAACGCATTTAGAAAATTCATGAAGTATTCTCCTGCATTATCAAAATGAAATTTTTTAATCTTTTTCCCAAATTGAGTCTTAATCATTTTATAGAAAACCATGGTGATTCTAGGTACTTCCTCTCTTCCTTTCATCAAGTAAATCCAAGTACATCTTGTAAAGTGGTCAATAAAACTGATAAAGTAACGATAACCATCCATAGAAGTAATGGGTGAAGGACCCCACACATCGGAATGAACCAAATGAAAAGGAGAATTAACTTCATTGCTAGAGTTGGGATAACTTGTTCTACAATGTTTAGACAACTGACACACTTCACAAAATAGACTCTCAATTGACACATTTTGAAACAATTCTAAAAACAAAAATCTTAACAAGGTAAAAGATAAATGACCCAATCTAGCATGCCAATGATAGATGGTAGCACTAGACTCCTTGCATTCCCCAATATGACTTGTTGAAGCTTGATGAGATGAACCGATATCCTCATTGAGGTAGTAGAGACCACCAGCCTCATGACCACTCCCAATCATTTGCCTCGTCAGCCAATCCTGGAAAACACAATGTGTGGGGAAAAAGGTCACAATACAATCCAAGTCTTTGGTGATTTTAGAAACTGAAAGCAAATTTGCAGTAAAGTTTGGAACATGCAAAACAAATTTAAGAAGAAGATCCTTTCCAAGTTGGATATCCCCTTTTCCATGAATTAAGGGAAAGAGAACCATCAGCCCCTCTTACTTTATCTTGCTCAGAACCAAGATGACAAGATGAGAAATAAGAGGAATTGTTTGTCATATGTTCAGAGGCACTTGAGTCAATCACCCAAGGGTCATTCGGATGAGGCTGAATAGCACTAAGGGTAGAAAACATACCTATCTTGGCAAAGGATGAGGAAGGAATAGTGGATTGTTTTAATCGAGCTATGGCTCAATTTAGAACGTCTACCTCTGCTGTTGTAAATTCAGGGAAGCTACTTGGGGAAGTAGTGGTCTGTCCCACACATGAAGAAGCACTCAAGGTTATAGGCTTTTGCACTCCATCCACCAGATTTGAACTTGCCACATGTCCATAAGGTCCTGGACAATTCAGTTTTTTTTTTATCAATAAGAGCTGTCGGTTTAAGGTGAGGATGCAAATGGAGGGGCTCCTACCTTCATTTCTTTTCTCCGGATCTCCCCATTTCTAATTAAGTAATAAACATGCTGCAAAGAGGGAAGTTCATCTCTCCCCAGGATCTGAGAATTGATGCTCTCATAAGAAGAGTTGAGTCCAACAAGAAATTTGAACACTCTCATTTCCTCAATTTGCTTTTGGTGCATTTCTTGGTCCTCAGAATTCTTCCAATCAAGAACAAGATGATGATCAAACTCTTCCCAAATCCCCTCAAGAGTAGCAAAGTAGGTTGCAACTGATAAACTTCCTTGAGTCAAGGCTGCAATGTCTTGTGTCAGTCTAAAATTTCTTGCACTATTTTTCCTTTGTCCATAGGTAGTAGATAATTTCTCTCAAATCTTATGAGATGTAGAATAGCGTTGGACTTCCTAGCAATCTTTGGTGCCATGGAAGATAACATCCATGTCATAACAAGTGCATTTTTTTTTGTCCAAGTTCCATATGTAGGTTCTTCCTTCTTAGGTTCTTTGACTTGTCCATCCATGTACCCTAATAAACCACGACTTATGATGTGAAGTTTTGCAGAAATGGACCACTCCTTGAAGTTGTATTCATCTAGTTTCACATTAGTGATATGAAGATTTGGGAAGCTAGTGTTCTCCATGTTGAATAAGCTTTCACTTGGCTGACTTTCCTTGGAGGTTACCTCACTAGAGTTTGAGGACATAATGAACTGTTTCTGATGTGAAATTTCACCCAGAAAACAAAAGAGAACAATCAGTACTACCAGCCTGTAGACCGGAGAATACTCCAACACAAAACAACAGGACAAAAATAGAGGAACTTGGGCTGCAACAGAAAACAAACATCTGGTCTGCAACCAGACACTGTTTAGCTTCTAAAAACTTGAAGTAGAGGGCAACAACCTGTACTTCACTCCCAGTCTAATGGAAACCTCTAACCTAACATAAAAAGTCTTCCACAAAGATATCTGAAAACCTCTTGCACTGCACCTTCCTGCAGTTCAAAATCTTAACCTGCTTACTGCAGGTTACTCTAGTAGTCCAGAGAGTCTACTCACAGCTTGTCTTGTCCTATTGGAGCATTGCCGAACCTCTTCTAGGTTCCCTTGGATCTTCTCCCAAGGGAAAACCCAAGAAAGCAACTGGGTTTAGAGCACCACAAGCAGAACTAGGGTTTCTTTAACACCCCAAGTAAAAAACGAAAAAGAATAGAAGAACAGTATATAAGATTTTGAATCAGTGAAGAGGATAGTATCAATGCTCTGATACCATGCTTGTATTTGTCTGTATTCAGCTCTATAGAAGAAGAAGAAGAAGAAGAGAATAGAAGAAAAAGARGTTTAGAAGAAATGGGTGGCACACCTCTCCAGCCCTCCAAGACAACTTTTATATTAGGGCAATAAGAAAGGGATACAATGACAAATCTGCCCCTGATTAGTAGGCAGTAAGAAAACATAATAACAAAGTAGGCCCAGGCCAATTTAGCCCAGGAAGGAAGTTACACAAGTAAATGTTATGAAATAACATAAATAGGCCCAAGCCCACAACGCTAGGCTACACAACAGTTAAAAGGGCAATTGGGCAGTTTGAAAGAAGCAGAAGAGAAGAAAAAAATAAGAGAAAAAGTTATTGGGGGGGGGAAGAGGAGTGGGAGGAAGGGGAAGAGAGGGAAAAAGATTGGGCCAAAGAAGAGTGAAGGGGTTATTGGAAGAAAAAGATAGGAGGGTAGTGGAAGCCGTGACAGAAATAAGGCTGTTATCCTGGAACGTTAGGGGTTCTGAGAGACAGGAGGTGTTAGTAAGGAGTGTGGTGAGACGCAGAGGAGAAAAGATAGCTAGAATAATCAGCAGCTGTCTTCCATTTGCCATTTTATAGAATGCATGGAAGGAAAGGAATAGAAGACTTTAGTGAAGTTAAGAAATGGAAGCTGGACAAACTGGTGGTGACCATTGGTGAATCTGTTGCAGATTGGGTTTTGATATTGCCTAAGTTTTCTCAGGCCAATAGAGTAGACTTGGGAGAAAGGTTATGGGAGGTGATGGGATTTCAAAATTATGATATGGATAATTGAAAATATGTTGTTTTTGTATTTGTTGTTGTTGTTAGGTGTGTTACCTTTAACACCTATCCAGATTGTACTTTATTTTCTTTTAGTGAAATTTACTTTCACTTGTCAAAAAAAAAAAATATTTATGAAAGGAATGATACAACTGAAATAAGGTGTTGAGGCAACACCTTCATGCATCTTAATTATAAATTCAAGGACAACATTTAAATTTTTAATAGTGTCCCAGAACCTGTCTCCAAACTCTGATCTGCTTGTCTGAGCTAAATCAGGTAGAACCAATCCATAACCATTTTACCTATATTAGCCATGATTATTTCAATCCTCCTAGATTTGTTTTCAACAATGTCATATTTCTCTCCTACCATATTCCCAAATAAATGGCAACAGGGGTGCAACTCCAGCAGATTTTGGCTTTTTTTGCTTCTTTGAATTTTTGAGAAAAAAAAAGAAAAAACCTCTTCTGGAGAAATGATCATTGACTGCATGCATACACCAATATATATTGCAAAATGTGAATGGCATAAATCATTAAAGGTCATTTCACAGATTTCAGAACAAACCTTCTAAAAAGATTTTAGCCATTCTTTGTTTCAAGTTGTGAATTAAGTGCAGGGAATTTACTAATTGGAGGTAGGATAAACCAGAAAATGGACTATTAATATAGACCAATTTGTAGATGTCTTCTGAGAGCAGCCTCTGTGTGCAACAAAAATTGCCAACAGTTATGTCCATATCCACTCCACCCCCTTCAAAGACCCTTGATAGATGAGACCAACATTTGGCAATGGCCTTTTGACCAATTTGTGGATATGTATATTCATGGGAAAGGTGCATACTCCTAATAATAATACCAAAAAAAAATTGTTTAGGTGACAGTACTTGATTTAAGGGAAGTAAAATGCTTGTTCCACCACCTGCAACAAATTTTACACTAATCCACTGAGAAGCATTCTGAATTGCTTCCTTAGTTGCCATTTCCATTGAGGGTGAAAATAGATATGTCTCCCCGTTGAAAGCTATGATGTTAAATGAATCCTCTGGATTGAGCTCAGACAGTGAAGCACATAGTCCATTTTTGACACTTTCAAGTGGCCTTCCTTGCATGCTTCCACTTATGTCAACAACAAAGACCACAGCCTTTCTGAAAACCTACCAGATTAATTAAATTGAGATTCAGAATAGAGATGAAGTAATTCTTTCATACATTAACTGCTGATAGAAAATTCTTTCATACATTAACTGCAGATAAATGATTTTTAAGGGCTGTGACATCATATCCCTTGAAAAAAAAAAAAAAGAGAGAAGATACTCATCCTTCATGGGCTTACATGAAACATGTAGTGAACAACAAAGGTAAGCTGGGGCTTTAATGTTTTCTCTCTTCTTCTGGCAAAAATAGCAACACAAGTTGCTTGGTTTTCAAAATGTACATGCCAATTATGTATCTAAAACTATATTTAGTACAATTTCTTACTATATAAAAATCTAACTGTTGGCTAAATTTGATATTTTTGCAAGATTCACTAAGATAAAATCAATATCTTTTGGCAAATGGGACAGCGGATACTTTAGCTAAACAAGGGATTGTTAGACAACAAATATTTTAGGCAAAATTTTAAATTGTTTCTTGGTGGAGATTTTTTCACCTTGCTGTAATACGTGAGTTTGAATTTAATAAAATCTCTCTTTATTGAAAAAAAGTCCCTTATCTCAACATAAAAAATAATACAAATGATCAGGAGTTTGGATACTAAAATAAAGAGAATGGTGAATAAGCCACAAACCAAGGGTATTTTCTCATAATAGTATATGATATATCACCAAATTAACATGAATCACATAATCCAAGTAACGATATGCTGATAGAGGAGAATATTTGATGAATGGAAGATTAATAAACAGTATATCAATGTCAACAGACCTTCCTGTTTTGGTCATTTCCTGGGAAAAGATAAAAGAAGAACATTTCTCTCTGATCAAAGTCATTAATGAGTGGAGGTTGCAGCAACAAGGAACCATGAATTCCACTTGAACATATCTGTACATGAAGAAAATCTTGGGCAATAAGTTGAACTCTGGGAAAACATAAAATGAAATTTCTTCTTCTTTTGAATTCATGGTATAAGCAGAACATATACATCCACAATCCATATAACCATTTGGACCTAGAGTACTATGTTCAGAAAACCACAGAAATAATGCCTACAGCTCAGGGTCCTACCATATAAGAAAAAGTAAAATCCACGCTTGACCATGCAAGAACATCTGCTTCATATGAGAAACCCAACCTTCCTGCCTGGCGTCTTATTTCCTGTAATGTCCAGAAAAAAGAAAAGGAAATGTCAGTGGGTTTATTCATGGAAATTTTATATGGGAGTCCAACTGGAACTTTTATTGAAGACATACCTTCAAAGGATGGCTACTTGTCCTGCACAGGACTTCCATTTCACTACCGGCATTCACATTCAATTGTATCTTTTCTCTTTTCGGAATTTTCTTTCCAGCAGGAGAAACATATTCTGGAAAGCTAAAGGGAATGTTGAGGGAGAACTGACCATCATTATACAATAATTTCTGAGACCAACTGAATTTAATTGAGAGGTTCGATCCTCCATCAATCTTGAAACAAACACAAGAATTAGATAATTGAAAGAAACAAAATGGAAACTAAATATAAGCTCTACAGAAGAATTTACCTCTGGAATTGTCATAGTAAATATATGGGGCTTCAAAAAGCCCCCATCTTTGACCTTGGAAACTTTAACAATATCCATATTTTCTTCCATTTTAATCAACTGAGTGCGATAGGATTTTCTAATAACATCAACTTCAACACCTAGAACTGAACCCTGTTAACCAAATCATGTTTTGCTTGAGAACAATAATAAAAAGTAAATACCAAGGTTTATGAAAGCAACCTGAAACAAATACAATTTATTACGTTAATACAAGGAAAAACTCAATAAAATATTTCTATATCCAAAAGTATGACTTTTTTCTATATTTTCTATTATCTTATTGCGCATATATTGTTCAAATGATATAGAGGGGTGATAAAGACCAGAAGAGCAATATTCTTTTCAGCTTTTCAGGCCCAGCAGGAAATGGAAACTCATTACGGGCAGAAATGTTGGCCATGGTTTAAGACTTATGAATATGAATGGTTTGACAGAGGTGGAGGTAGAAGGAGACTGCCAAACTGTAATTTTTTGGATGAAGAAACAGGAGCTTCCATGGAAATTTAGGCCTTTGGTTAGGCTTGCACAAAATCTAGGTGCTAGTTTGGAGAACTCATTCAAATGGATACCTAGTGTAAGGGGATCGACCTGAGTAGCAACACAGATCAATGACCGCAACAAGACCAACCAAGCCCAGGTCAATTCGGGCCATTAAATATAAGTGGAGACAAAAATCAAGAAAGCATTCTTGGATAAGAGACAAGCATTGAGAACATTCTAGAAATAAATCCAGCTAAGCAAGGAAATAGACATGTGATTTAAGGCTCAGTTTGGAAGGAGTACAAATACAAATTTGTAGAGTGCAAAACCTTGTATTTTGTATGTGTTTGCACTGTACTCATTTGTATTTGTATTCTTTCCAAACTGAGCCTAAATGACAAAAGGGTAAAACTGAAAATGTCAATAAATAAGATAATTCTAGAAAGATATTTAAYCACATGTTTTATGTGTAAAGAACATTCTAGAACAAGAGGGTTAAATGGGAAAACACAAACTTAAGAAACCTCTAGAATGTGCATCCAAAAACTATAAATAAGGACCTTGAAACCATTCTTGCCCCATCACTTTGATGTCAACCCATTCCCTTTCTCTCATTCAGCCTCTTCTCCATTTCAGCCATCACCACTTTCACTCTTTTCTCACCGGAATTCCAGCTTCGGGTGAACTACAGTAGCCTGATCTCTCGCGGAGGGTATGTAGGCACTAGGCAGCCCCTTCTTCGGGGTCCGACCACTTGCTTATTTCCCATTTCTTCCCATTTTTTATTCAGTCAATTCCTCGGTATTGACTGCGCCACATTAACGGCCTTACACCTAGAAGTGCAAATGTGGTGGGTAATTCATTGACAAAGACATGTGCTGTAAGGGATCACATAGAATGAGGTTCACTGGGGCCGGCCATCAATTTGTAACTCTAAATAGTGTGTTGATTTATCTTTTGTAAGCCGGCTTTGTACTTTTTTTTAGGACTACTGCCTTATTTAAGGGCAGCTAAGAGTTTTTGATTAATGAGGTTATTTTGTTACTTATTTATCTTCATAGAAATCATCATTTGAATAAACTAATGTTTTAAAAATGAAAGAATATCTAAAGAACAAGGGGTTCTTAGAGCCTGACACATAATGCTAGGTGACCACCTGATAAAGTGAGGTGCCACTTTTGAAAAAAAAAAGATATAAATTCTAAAAGAAATTAAGTACCTCAAAAAAATCTATTAGCTTAATTGGTTAGGAAATAATGCTATTAACAATATTTTAGCCTTGTACATTCAAGTGAGGTAAATCAAGATTGAGCAATAAGCCAAGTAGGGAAAACATGAGTTTAAGCAAGGCAAAGCCTGCAAAATGAACCTTGTCTGTGAGACTTGGGCATACTTCTTAAAACACTAGGATAATGATGACAAATATCCTAAAACAGAAACAAATCAAAGATGGCTAGACCAACTGACCGAAAAAAGGCCCTATGTGGTCCATTCAAATCCTCTAACTGGATTTGCACCAATAAATGGGTAAAATCAGTCGTTTTCAACCAAACCAACCAATTCAGTGGTCTTTTTATATCTATATATGAAACAAGAAAACTTTCCTAAAATTTATCGAAAGAGAACAATAATAATAAATCATGCCCTTACAAGTAACAACACAAGAAAGCCTCAACCACATCTCTATCAACATTCCATGAAACAGCATTTAATTACTGCAGAAATAAAACTAAACAATAGGATGCACTTTGTGCCAGCTGAATCATGGTATAGTAGACAACTCAGCCTTAGACAAAAATTTGACAGATTCATCCTTTTTTTTATAGGCAACAGAATTTGACAGATTCATCTTTAATATAAGATGATGCAATAGGTGATATCAAGTTGACGTATGTGCCAACCAACTAACAGTATGTTGGACAAACCTGTAGCAGCTAACCAGAGTAAAAATAATCTTAGTTAAAAATACATTTTTCCATTGTTCTCTTTTTCTTCATTACTATCAAACTATGATTAGAAAGCTTCTCATCTTTACCTTGTGCCACTTTACCCCTAAGCTAACAGTATCAGGCTATCAACCTAAAAGTGCATAATCTAGTTTCACATTTGTATACTACACCCCCTACTATTGCTGGCTATGAAATGAATTTTTCTTATTTGATGGGTTAAAAGATAGACCTTGAAAGAAGGCCCCCTTCTTGCTGCCATAATAGCTATATACCAGCATTGTTTTTTCTCTCTTTTTACATATCCCAATCACATATTTATTGATGTGGTTAATGTTCAATTTTCTTTTCTTTCTCTTTTCCATGCTCAGACACTTCACTTTATCCTCCGTCACTTGATAATTTCAGGGGCCCACACTATAGATATTTTTGTTGGATGACTCAAGTATACCTTTCAGTGCTAGTGTCAAAAAGTTACACACAAGTCATAGCTCACTACCAAAAACCAGATTAAGCTCAAGCTCTACATGTAATATCTCTTTGAAAAATATCTACCTTCGACGTTGTCGCAATAAGATACATTATGATGGTGGACTTGGCCCTCTAGTGACATCATGACACATGGCATCTCAGAACAGCCAGATGACACCCCAACACCACCTAGGCGATGACTTGCCTTAGCCAAAGTGATGGGGTCCGACCTAGCGACCTGCCTCCGCCAACTTGGTGGAAATCTAGTTGGCGACCTCGTCCACAACTCAATGTGGCTTGCAGCACCTCGTCCAAGGCCGACCTGTGGTACCTCATTAGTACGGTCGAAGTGACCTCGATGAGGAGCGACCTCCCTCGAGGGCTTGCCGATCTGATTGAGGTCCAGGTGGCGACCTGCGAGACGTGCTCGCCGACCAATTCTGCATGCATATCCCGTCACTCCCGGGTTTCTCAGAAGTTGGCCCCCAACCCGAATGTTCCAGAGGAAACCGAACAAGGCGCGAAGACTGGTCTACGTGCACGGCTACCTCCGAGGACTTCGGACCGGTTAGGCACGTCTTCCCGGAGACCTCGGACATAATGCATGAAGCCCACGCCACACGACGCTTATATAAAGGCACCAACTCCAATGACACAAGGTACGTGCGATTACTTACTTACTAGCTCTCATATTCACAAGTTTTCAGCTCGCAACATAACCAGCATACTAACTTAAGCATCGAAGTGACCACATCGGGTTAGCCGCCCCGGGTTCTCTGAGCTTTCCCCTTCTTGCAATTCGACTCACCAGCCAAGCAACCGACGTATGAGCTGCCATCCAGCTAGGAGTGACCAGATCGCGCACCATCAATTGGCACCGTCTGTGGGAAACGCAACAAAAAGCTAAGTTCTCACCTTCTAGTTTGCTAAGTTCTCACCTTTATCAACTCAATGATATTTTTTAGCAGCACCAACATCAAGAATGAAGTATTAGTTACTAGGGGAAAGAGCATTCGTGATGAACCTTGAGAACCCCTTTGTGACAATCAAGTAAGTTCAGTGCCCCTAGCAACCATGCTGAACCCAACACTCGCATTACCCCAGACAAGCACACCGCTACCTCATGTGAACATCCCTCTCCCCGCAATAGAGCCATCAGCGGTTCCCGCCGGGATTGAAGCACGGCAGTTTTATGAGCTGAAGYATGAATCTCCAGATGTGGGCATGGGAGGAGAAGTTCGGTGCATTCATGCCGCTGCAAAATAATCAACAACAAAACGACCTCAGCAACCAGCAGTCTGGCGACAGGCACCTTGAAGTAAAGCCGCCCCCGCAGGTCGGGCCCTTTGTGGTTCCTACGAGAGTTGATGGCCAACAGACTGAGCAGCTCTGCCGACCTCAATTCAGCCCGGACAAACCTTGTCAGCTCTGTTCGCAAGGTCGCCTCTACAGGTCGAGCCCTTCGTTGCTCTCGCGAGAGTCGACAGCCAACGAATTGTGTGGTCGCCCTTGCAGGTCGAGCCTTCTAAGGCTCCCGTGCGAGTCAACGACTTACAATTAATAGAGCTGCCCCCGCAGGTCGAGCTCCTTGTGGCTTCTCGTAGGAGTAGACGCCCAGCGTCACCAAGGGGTTGATGCAGTGTAGCCGTGGCACCGACCTACCGCCCAACGCCAACAGCAACATATGTATCGACAAAGCCATCACAAGGGGGGCAGAATATGAACGACTAGCCCGGGCGAGCTTCAGGGATCTGGCCCAGATTGTATCCCAGCCCGAACTGCGAATCCTCACTACTGATCGAACTCTGTATGGCTCCCTTGAGAGTTGGAAGCGAACTGAATGTGGAACCGGCCTCATAGGTCGAGCCCTTCGTGGTTCTCGTAAGAGTAGGCAACCCGCAGACAGTAGAGCCACCCCCTCAAGGTGAGCCTCCCATAGTAGAGGGCGGCCAGCAGCTCCAGGAGCAGGTGTAGTACATGTATGCCATGGTCTCGCAAGCACCTACCCAGAGAAGCCAATCCCACGCGATGGCATGGAAGCATCCACATTTAAAGCTACTACGGAACAGCCATCCGCTTTAGTGACCTGGTCAATTTGAGTTCTAAGGGAAAGCCATACCGCTTTTTAGCTAAGGCGCCCTCAAGCCAACTTCGAAAGCATGACGGCAACGGATAGACTGATCTAAGCAGGTCGGCCCCCTATTTATCTAGCTCGGCAACACGTGTAAATCGATCTCGAAGGACATCAGTATCTCACCGCCAACTTTAAAAAAAAAAAGGAAAGAAAAAGAAAAGAAGGTAGGGAAGACTAGTTCGCTTTCAGCACCGTGGCGGATGTGCAAACTTGGCCGATCACTTCACAGCCAACCTCCACCTTGGTTTCAGGCTCCACATCGACCTCGTTGGCTACTCTTTCGAGAATCGGCTCGAGGGACATTGTGTTGTACTCTACCTGAGTGGAGCAACCTGACGAGGCAATCATGCAGTTAGAAGCCCCTCTTGAGGACGGCATGACAAACTTCACTCTTGAGGTATTTGGCTGAACTGCAAAACTCCTTGATGGTTGCATCCCTAGTAAGGTAGATGTCCACGGAGTGCTTGCTTCGTCTCTCCTCGAGCAAATGAATTCGGTCTTGCACCTCGATAATCAAGACAGTAAAGTCCTGCATAAGGTTGCATTCAACACTTAGACTCTTCTAACCTGGAGAGCAAACTGGACTGACGCCTACGACTACGAGCTCATTAAATTAGTCACTCCAGGCCAAAGAAACAAGCTACTCCCTTCGCCGATTTGATCTCAACTCGGGAGTGGGGGCAATTGATGAGGGCGGATTTGGCCCTCTAGTGACATCATGACACATGGCATCTCAGAACAGCCAGATGACACCCCGACACCACCTAGGCGATGACTTGCCTTAACCAAAGTGATGGGGTCTGACTTGGCGACTTGCCTCCGCCGACTTGGTGGAAATCTAGCTAGCGACCTCGTCCACAACTCAAGGTGGCTTGCAGCACCTCGTCCAAGGCCGACCTGTGGTATCTCATCAGTACGAACAAAGTGACCTTGATGAGGAGTGACCTCCCTCGAGGGCTTGCCAATCTGATTGAGGTCCAGGTGGCAACCTGTGAGACGTGCTCGTCGATCAATTCTGCATGCATATCCTGTCACTCCCGAGTTTCTCGGAAGTTGGCCCCCACCCTGAATGTTCCGGAGGAAACCGAACAAGGCACGAAAAGACTAGTCTACATGCACAGCTACCTCCGAGGACTTCGGACCGGTTAGGCACGTCTTCCAAGAGACCTCAGACGTAATGCGTGAAGTCCACGCCAAACAACACTTATTTAAAAGCACCAACTCCAATGACACAAGGTACGCGCAATTACTTGCTTACTAGCTCTCATATTCACAAGTTCTCAACTCACAACATAACCAGCATACTAACTTGAGCATCGGAGTGACTACACCTGGTTAGCCACCCTGGGTTCTCTGAGCTTTCCCCTTCTTACAGTTCAACTCGCTAGCCAAGCAACCAACGTCCGCACTGCCATCCAGCTAGGAGCGACCACATCACGCACCATCAATACACAACTGATATAAATTGTTTTTGAGTTAAAATATAATTCTATCTGAGAGTGGAGCAACTGAATAGCGATTATACATACACGAAATATCCAGTTAAACGAATCTTATGTCATACTTGGATTCGAAAATTGGAAAGTTCAACCCACTGCAACATTGCGGACAATCCTTATTATCAAATCCAGACTCCGAAAACTAGCAAATAATAACTAATTCAAATACGCACAAATACTAAATTGAAACCTTTTAATTATATCCAATTTAGGGAAAACTATTACGCTAAATGATTTTTATGAATTTAGCAGTTCTAAATACTTCCAAATCGACAACGAAGTTCACATTAAATTCAACTTCGAGAACTAATGGATCGAGCAACTCCAAGTTCACATTTTTATCAAACGGTTTGGAGTGCATACCCGCTCGCTCATCGGGATTGCAAGGCGGCAATCGCAGTTTCGACTACCCATAATACAATGGACACGCCATGATCCGCTGACGGTAACGAACGCAGTACCCAAGTAACAGTCTGCCTCGACCGCAATTCCATTCATTTGGAGTGGAATCAGCGCGGGTGGATCGCACTTCCCGTGGACATACGGCTGGTAGCTCGGAAGGTCGGGGTTGTCAACGATTGCGGGGTCAGAGACCACCGCATACACCATTGGTGCCGTCGGAAGGTACGTCTGGTGTAAAGATTTATCCATCGACGCCGGCCTTGGAGGCGAGACCGATCGATCTTTCCCGAAGTATATGCGCTTCGAGAGTCGTAACCCGTCTTCGACGGATTCCACGAAGTAGTCAACCATTTGAAACGACATTCCGGCGAGAAATAAAAGGAGGCTTGGACGTCAACTGTGCCGCCGGGCAATAGCAGTGGAGGAAGAAGCCGATTGAACTGTTGAGAAGAAAGGAAGACGAGAGCTGTCCGTACGGATTTGGAGATGGATTTCCATTGAGAAAGGAATATCGTGGTGACAGCGATGAAGGGTGAAGCAGGTAGACGGTAGTGCGGTACTCCATTTGCTCTCTCGTTATGCCCGACAACACGGGTGATTGATTTGAGAACCTATTTTATTTTAATTAATAACCGACAATACGCGTGATTTATTGAGAAGCTATTTTATTTTAATTAATAAAAGAGGGGGTATTACGATTTACGAGTGATTATTTGACACATAGATGACGAATCGGATTGGGCGATCTCTACTGAGAGGAATGAATTCACGTTCAAGCACCACATACAGTGCGTAATGCGTAAGCTTAGGGAGTTCACATCTCCGCTTCACAACGCCCCACAGCACATGTATCCAACACACGCCCAAGATGTGTTGTAGGGCATTGGCATTGTGGGGCGGGACGCTATGGGGCGGAGGTAACGGGATCTGCTCCACAAATGGGCGCCTCATACGCACATCTACCATGCATTGGGAATATTTCCCGTACTTACGGGAAATATTCCCAATGCATAGTAGGATGTGCGTGTGAGGCGCCAGTTGTGAGGAGCARATCCGGTTTCGAGGCAGAGACGTGGTTATGACGTATGAGGAGAGAGACCAGATCTGCTCTTCACACAGGCGCCTCACACCAACCTCACACAGGCACATCTCACCATGGTTGGGAACATCTCCCTGTGAGGTCGGTGTGATCCCAATTCATGAAGAGAGCTCTAAGGGGAACACGAGTCGAGTCCGGATCTGCTCCCAATATGGTGTGGGTTTAGAACACGAGGGAAATGCTAGCACCACTTAGCAAACACAAAAAAAAGGCGTGAATTAGATCAGTTTTTTTAAACCGAATTAGACCTAGGTTCAATTGACGCTATGTTTATTATACATATTAAAAAAATCAAAATCCAACAAAAAAAAACTTAATTAAAACCAACCTAATTTTAATCCAATAATATCAGGTCAACACCTTTTTTTATAAGGGAAAACTCTTGATTAATACCCTATACTTTGGGCTTAGTGCCACTTTGGTCCCCAAATTTGAAAATACGATAATTCAGTATCCAAACTTTTAAAACATAACAATTTAGTATATATCGTTAACTAGTTGTTAATAGTCGTTAAGTGGCATTTGAAAAAGACATAATTATCTTTCAAGTGTTATTTAATTTTTTAAAAGACACAATTGCCCTTCAAGCTTAACTAATACACCTGAACCCGACATTGGTAAGTTCGGACCAAACTGGAAGGGTCCGTACAGGGTGAGACGAGTATTCGGCAAAGGGACGTACAAGCTCGAGACGTTGGAAGGGAGACAGGTACCCCACGCCTAGAATGTCAACAATTTGAAAATATACTACTTGTGAGCTCAGGAACAAAACATCTGCCAAAATTTCCTAAGTCCAGAAGACCAGCTAAATGATACAGTGGATAGTGGACTACGAGTCGCTCCCAAAGCCCAATTGCTTCCTAAGCATATGGGCAACACAGGCGAACTCAATTTATGCCACGTCGGTGCACAGGCAAGTTGGGTAAATACCCTACTATGTCTGTCCACCTCGGCTCACATTTACTTCGGGTTATTCCTTACTGTGTCTAGCTTGTCAGCTTGGCACCTCGGGGTAACCTATACTTGGAAAAATTTTGCAAGTCCATGTTATTGTACACGAAGTGACAAAAAGTGTATTTCATTACTTCCCAGAAAAAGATGTTTCTTACATTCAAAAAAAAAAGGAGAGAAAGAAAGAGAAGCTAAGCCTACTGAACCAAGCTCAAAGGCTCGATCTACACTGTGTTTACGAGGAGGTCCAAGAAAAGAGGCAGGAAATCTTCATAGGGGCTCCTCGCCCCCACCTTCAATGCTTCCGGGGTCCCCAATTGGCTCAATCGTCACAACTTCATTAGCTGCAACAACCTCATCAGCCTCCACGGCCTCATCGACTGTGGCATTTGAGTCTTTCTCCACTGCTCCCTCATTGAGCTCCTCGTCGGAGTCTGGCTCTTTGGCARCTTCCAACACCATCCCGGTGGTGATCCCGGCAGAGGTGATGGCTCCGAGGTCAAGCTCGAGAAACTTACGCTTGGTCACCCAGCGGTAGAGCTTGAAACCTTTTTGGAAGGCATCAATACCGAGCTCCTCCTTCATCTTATAATACTCCGGTGAGGCTTGATGAGCTTTGACAACAGCGGCCTCAGCATCCTTAATGCCTTGAAGAAGAGCGATCTCGCGTTCGGTAGAAGTAGCCTTTAAATCCTCGGTCTCCTTCTCCAATTGTCCGATTCGCTCCCTCTGTGCCAGCACTTCGGCCTCTAGTTCTCGAACAGAGTCAACGATCTTCAACATCTTGGTCTGGCACTCTGCGATTGTAGCCTTAGCCTGCTCAGCCTTTTCCTCGGCAACCCTTGCCCTCGCAACATGTTGATCGAGTTGTTGCATAAGAGTGTGGATCATGGAATTCGCCTGCAAAAAAGAAGAAAAGTTTGCTAAGTATGGAAGACAAAACAAACAGAAACCAATATCAAGTTCAAGAGTATACCATCATAACATAGCCCACCGCCCTGGCACCCACTTGAGCATACGGCAGCTCGGCAAACTTGTYGCCTCCTTTCTTTTTATCAAGTTGGTTCTGCCGTTCATGATGCTTTGGATCAACTTAGGGCCCTCTCCGGAGGAACTGGCTCCAGGATGGATGGTCTGAGGCTGCTTGGATGGCGGAAATAACTCAGGTCAGTGAGGAGATTGACCCTTCTCCTGGGCCTCATCGACCAAGTTGATGATTGGGGGGTCCTCGGGTTGAGCAGGAGCAGCCGGCTAGGTGGAAGGTGCTTGGAAAGAGTCATCCCGTGCCGTCTTTCTCTTCTTCCTCTTCCTCATGCCGGCGAAGAGGTTAGCCATCGGAGCACTTGACATAATGCCTATAACAAGCAAGCACTAGATTGGTCGAAGTAATGTAAAAAAATGAAAAAGTGTGTTCGTGTACCGAGGTGGGGACCTAACCGGAGGACTCAGCCTGGCATTGACAAGCTTGTCCTCGGCCAAGTAATCTCCCAATTTCAGGTCGAGCTCAGCCAACCTTTGCATCTTCTTCCTCATCTTCCTACTTAGATGGTCCCTGGGGTCACTAATGGCAGTTCTCCACCGAGTTGAGAAGGGCCACCCCCCTTCAGCGATCACAGTGAAGTACCTATTTTTCCAGGCTGACACTTTGGAAGGATATTCATGAAGTAACTTGTACCCAAGTCGGTAAGCTATGTAATAGCTAAACTTGTTAACCCCTGGAAGGCCAGTAGGGTTTTTCTTGATTAAGCAAAGCGAGGTTAAGATGTCTATATCTAAGGAGAGGTCGCGGTCATGGAACATGGAAATGGTGCCGACCACAGTGCGAACTGAGTTCAGGTGAAGCTTATCTATGGTGATACCGAAAAAATTAAGGACTTCGACGACAAAGGGGTGGAGAGGAAACTGGAGCCCGGTGATCAACTATTCCTCAAAGACAGCGATCTCATCGTCATCGTGCTCCCAGGGAAAATTTTCTAATGGAAGGTTTTAGCCAAGGTGATCGGGGAGCTTAAAGTGGGTGACCAACGCCTCAACCCTCTCCGGCATCATGATAGTGGGACCAAAACGATTTGGACCCCAAGCATGGTGAGAGGTCGAAGCCTTTTTACCATAAGCTTTTCGCTCCTAAACATAGGCACCCTCCTCGACTGGGCTGGACTCTTAGTTGTGGGTTGACGTGGCCATCTCGACCAAACCGGCCTCTATGTCATGGACCGAGGTACCCACCTCGGCCCAACCGGACTCACTGCTCATGTCGAATAGGCTACCTGTACTACTATTACTAGACATATTGGAATGAAGGAAAAAACATGCAAGGAACGAAGGCAAAGGAAGATGACTTACCTAAAGACGAAGAGCGACCACAAGAACAAGACAAGGGATCACCGACCTGGAAGCAAGTGCACGACCTTAGAAATGCAATTACGCAAGATAAGGCGAAGCGAATGGGACCCAAGGCCCCATATTTATAGCCATTGTAGTCGATCTTGGATGGTCTAGATCGAATTGATCTAACGACTCTTGTAAAAACCAATCGCATGCCTCCCGATGCCGAAATCAGTTGAGCGCGCGTTTTGACATCCGCGGAGTTTGTAATCTGCGTGACGTCCGTGCGTCCCTGATATACGATCTGGTCCTTCATTGTGGTCTGACCGTTGGATCATACCTCAACCGGGAAGAAGACCGGGCCAAACCTACCTAAGCTCGTCATGAACTCCCCGCACCGGGTCAAGACCCCTGGCACAGGGAGTGGGGGGCAATTGATGAGGCGTGATTTGGCCTGACCTGCTAAATAGTGAACACGTGGATGCGACCTGATGATTGGATAATGATTCAACATTTCCGGCCACCTCAGTAGATCAGGTCACCTCGGGCGCCTCTATCACCTCGACCAGGACCGAGGTCCAAGTAGCTCAGGATGGCCCAACTTACTGAAGTGACATGTAGCGGACTTCTAGAAGCAAGTCAGTTGTCTTCGAGCTCTTCGGGATCACACCGCATGACTGTAAGTCTTATCSTCATCCCGCCCAGATCGGATGGACACGATAAGCCTTATCGACTAGCACGATATCCACCTCCCGGTGCGGAATGAATTCCTAACAGCGCAGACCRAGGATCTCGGAGGTGTTTCGTGAGACCCACGGCAGCTCAACTATATAAGGGTACCTACCCCCATAGCACAAGATACGCGCGATTTAGTGTATTCTAGCTCTCTTATTCTCAAGCTTTCTGCTCGCACAATTAGATACTAACTTAAGCATCGGAGCGACTACGCCAGGTGAACCACCCCGGGTACTCTGAGTTTTCTTGTCTTACAGTTTGACCGGCCAACTAAGCGACCAACATCCGAACTACTATCCAGGTAGGAGCAACTAAATCGTGCACCATCATCAACCATCTTAACGTTGACAAAAAATTAACAATCCTAAATCCTTGCCTCTTCCATTCAAGAAAGTTGGAATCACATTTGATGGGCATTTTAGTGACCCTAATTTTCTTAAATAGAAGAGGTAAGGATTTGGGAGGATGAATTTAGGTTCAACTTTTGTCAATCAAAACTTGAATAGTGACAGTCCAAAGGAATAGGACCTTCTATTGCACCCGAAGCAGGATCTGCTCCTCATAAATGGGCGCCTCAGAGTCACATCCACCGTGCATTGAGAACATTTCCTGTGAATAATAATTAATAAGTACGTGAGATGTTCCAATGCATGGTAGGATATGTGTGTGAGACGCCAGGTGTGAATAGCAGATCCGGTCTCGTTGCACCCGTATAGTTAGAACCTTGAAACATTTTCTTATGAATTTTATATATTTGTACGGGAGATATCCTCAATGTATGGCTGGATGTCGTGTGTGTTATACGAGTTCCGGACTTTATGCATCTTAGAAGCCGCCCTTTACAGGCATGAATGACCTTTGGGAACTCCATCTCCTTGCAAGCTCAAGCATGACCCCTAGGGTGATGTTTTCTATGCATGTAGGCGCATTTTTTCCTCAACACACAACTCATTAGACAGTGCTGTTATATGTTATGACATGCACCTCTTTTTAACGGTTCAAGAAGAGGTGTGCCACGTGGCATAATCTTACAGGCCTGTGTGAACTAAGGCAAAGTACAGGTGGGTTTATACAAAAGGGACTTTGCTTTGTTCTTGACCTGAGGCTGAGGATGAAGCGAGGTGAACAGGAAAGGGACAGGGTTCGAGCTTCGAGGAAAGGTGATCTTCATCAAATGGAGGCTGTAGAGTTTCGGGCAGTTCGCTTTAAATGCTGATGGTTGGATATCACGCCTTTCCTGCGACCGATCTTGGTTGTCCCGAAAATCTTCCCCACAAACAATCAAGCTAGTATGAGTTTGGCTGTGGGGAGCTTTGAGATGTCCTCTTGTCTAATATTTTCCTTGTCCAACTCTTCAAGATGTATCATTTGAGATTTGAGAGAGAGCAGCCTCGCAAAGGCTCATGCCAATCAGCTCCACTTGACTCCTATAATCAGAAACAAAAAATGCTATGGACATTATTGCATAATTTATGCAAAAAAAAAACCATAAAGTGGGAGGAACACATTATCATTCAATTAACCGGGATACATACCTTGTCAACCCTTATCAACCATGAGACACTTTTTTCGTGGTTCAAACACACACCCCCATTGTGCCCAACGAGCCACTAAGAACTGTATTGTGATTCAAAACCACAGCAAAATGCAAAAGTATATATATATATATATCCAAAATAAATTGTACAAGTGAATACTAATCAAATGGTATTCATACATGAATATTTTTTGTTTTAAAACGTAAAAGCAACCGCCACTCCGGCTTTTAGCAAGACAAATATCTGTTTTCAGAAAAACGTAACTGTTCATGCTGCTGAACACCAGCAAAGTGTGTTCAGATCTCCTACTCACTCATCATTACAGTCGCACATTAAGAACATCTCACCTATTTGCATGTTATCATTCATGGAGAGATGTTCCAAATGTACAGCTGTAGTGTCTTGTGGGTAGATATGGATAGGATTCTTGTAGGTAGAAGATCAGGATTGCATCAAAGTAGCACCCCATAATGATCTTCAAAGAAAAAAAATAGTAGCACCCATAATATGGCTAATTTAAGGGGTGTTATGACTTACGACATGAATGTTTTTTGTTTTCATTTGTTTTTGAAATCGCCATATGAGCAATAAACAGAAACATGTTTTTGAACTTTGGTTTTATTCTTGGGCAAAAACAAAATGGTTTTGTTTCAAAACACAATACATGCTCTTGTGGTGGTTCAAAATAATGGTTTCTAAAACACAGTTTGTAGTATACAAATTATATGATTTATGGAACATAAAATTAATTAACCAAACGAAAACATGTTTTTAAAATTAGAAATTCAAAAACATGTTTTTGGTTTCAGTTTTGGAGACAAAAAAATACACATATAACCAAAAACATTTTTACCATGTTTTTTTAAGAACCAATTTTGATGTTATGTAATCTGACTGCTCCCTGCTAGAGGATGATTTGGCTTCCAGTCGGACAGTGAGCTAGGTAAATCTGCAAAATAAGATCAGAGAACCCGGGGTGGCTAGCCCGGTGAGGTCGCTCTGATGCTTTAGTAAGCTGTTGCGAGCTGAATAGCTTTGGGAATGTAGAGAACTAGAGAGCTAGAGAGCTGAGAAATCCCGCGTCCCTTGTGCCCTCGAGGTTGGAGCCTTTATATAGTTGAGTCCTCGCGGGTTTTGCGGATAAGTTCTGTGGTCTCCGTTACAATGGGATCTGTTTCCGCTTTAGTTGGGAGATAACGCTATCAACTGATAAAGCTTATCAATTCCTCCCGAACCGAGCAGGGAGGAGATAAGGCTTGCCGTTATGCGGCGTGATCCTACGGGGTTCGGAATTTGTTGGAGAGATTTCCGGGGTCGTCATGTAGTGGTCTGGATCGGTATCCCCGAGCTGATACTTTTTAGTTCCGAACTGGACTAAATGCCGAAGTGCCTTGGGACCGAGGTGACTTAATACTGAAGTGACCTTGTACTGAGGTGGTTGGGTGTCCGAGTTCAATTGTTGCGAACTAGGCATGTTAGGCTGAGCTGTCATCTCTTAGTCAGATCGCGTCCACGTGTCCCCTTTTTACTAGGTCGGACCAAATCACCCTTCATCAAATTTGTTTCCAAACCAGCTGGTTTGTTTTGTTTATGGAATTGGCAAGAAGAAAAACAATTCACATTAGAAAACACCCCCTAAAGTGCAGCCAGTTCTACCCTTTATTTCCTTAACCCAAAGTCTACACAATAATAGGGTTTTGGCATGTTTTGAAAGATTACACTTATTAATAAGAGATCAAAGAAAGAAACAATAAGAGGGAGGAAGATACACCCTCAACACCCAGAAAAGAAAGAAACATAGCACATCAATGCTTTTGGATAAACGGGCAAAAAAATCACTTTTTTATGCCCTTCATATAGAAAAATACACAAAATGGCATACTGGAGAATTTTCGTATGGAGCATTTCTACAATTGGGGTAGATTTTTTATTTATTTTTTGATAAGTTCTACAATTGGGRTATAATGTACCATATTGACAAAAATAAAAGGCAAAACACTTCTCTAACTGGTCCAAATCTAATTACAACTAATATAATATAATGCTTTAAAAATTTAATTTGCATATATCTATCTCAAACATGTATATTGAAGAATCAAGCCTGCATTGTGTTGCCAATTATGCTTAAATGGAAATAAAATATGAATACCATCCAGGAATTTTTTCTTATTGCTTCATTTTTTAGAGCACGGTGCTTGTCATGTTTCTTTTCAGTAAGTTGATACCTAGATCTGACCAGATGAGGCAAACTACCTGGTATCCAAACCCAGTCAAGAGACTCAAGACAAGACAACCAGACCAAGCTAGTTAGCTAGCCTAGTACCAAGGCATTCACATCCTGGTGCAAGTGTGCAACATTCAGGGGACTTCTTAAGTTATTCCCTTGCTTTGAGCTGAACTAGACTTGGGAGTGAGTGCCACAACCACTCAAAAAAAGGTTGATGCTTGGGGTTCTCTCTAGGTTAGTCATATTCACTGTAAAGAAAAAAGATTCTTGGATAAAATACAGAAAACTACCCTGCATTTTGGGGGTAGAGACAGTTAGGTCTCCGAACTTTCATTTGAAACAGAGAGCTACCATGAACTTTCATATGCCAACACTCTCCACCAGCCATTAGCATTCTGTCCATTTTGAACTTTTATGAGACCACTTTGCCCTTTATTTTATTGTTGGTCAGAGCCAACAATAGCAGGCACTCTACTTCTTTCAACTATCCTTCAACTCTCTATTAAATAAATGAAAAGAAAAAAGAAGATAGGAAAAGTTCAAAACTTGGGTTTTGGAGGTGCAATAAAGGAGAGTGCAAAATGGTCTCAGAAAAGTTCAAAAATGATGGAATGCAAAAAGCAAGCTGTGTTGGAATCTGACAGTACAAGGTAGCTCTCTGTCATAAAGGAAAGTTCGGGGGCATTAGTGTCACTGTCCCCAAAGTACAGGATTAGTTCTCTATATTTTACCCAAGATTTTTTACAGGCAAGTAAAACAAAAAGWGTATTTTTTGATAGTCACTACATCTCTTTATGTTTTTTTTTTTTCAGTAAAACAAGAATATTAATCAGAGAAGTGTCACCCTGATTATGAGACAATGCATTCAACACCTCCAAATTTCTAAAGTTAGCAATGGTTTCTGTTCAGATTGGGGGATGGAAAAGAAAATGAGAAAGGGACTTCTGACTATACATCTCTCCCAAAGGAAATAACACCTGTACCAACTCTCCTAGGGTGGAGGTGGTAGATGGGAAGTGCATATTGATATGAAATGTGCCCTCCTCACATGTCTTCCTAATTCAGAGGAACCTAATTTATCTCAAAGGAAAATGATATCTTACTGACAAATTCAAAAGCTAAATGCTCAGGCCTTTTTGACATATTTCCATTAAAGAATTGAAGCATGTATACTTTATGCTTATAGTCCGATACAAGATTCTGCATTCAGCTCATGAATGAACCAAAATAACAGCAAAATAGGACTAGTCACAAGGAACTTACAAGATATTGGAGGTCTTGTAACACTGCCTTATTTAGGATGCCAATACAGGAACTGGCTGAGAGGTCTTCATTCTGTTAAGCAGCTCAACTGAAATTGCCCTTTCACAGTTCTATACTCCACAGGAGAGAAATAATCAAGAGCAGAGAAAATTCAATGCACCCTGCAAGGCAGGAAAAAGCATATGCCTAGGTAGTGGACCATTGAGTAAGATCAACCATTTAACCAGAGAAAAAGAACTTAAATCTTGATTGCACATTTAGATGACTCATCCGGTTTGCTTTTCACTTTTCAATAACATCTGAACCACAATATCCTAATAAAAAATGAAGTCATCTCTAGTTACAAAGGAAACATCGGATTCCCTTAATTTATCGAGACCCTAAAACAAACTTGAACATATTTTTTCCTAGGAAAAAAATGACTCCAGTTTAGAAGGTAATCTTGTGCTTTTACATGCAATGGAAACAAAGACACCATTTCATTCCAGTTGGTTCCAAGATGCTCCGTAAGTAATTTCAGCAGCTCACACTTTGAGGGAGATGAGCAAGTGAGACTCTGATCAATCAGCACCAAACCCTGTTTTTGCACTGCCTTTCAGGATAGATTATATGGATGCTCAGTCAGTCTGTTGCTTTTGGCAATGGGTCCTCAGAATTAAGATGTTCCTCAATCTAGGCAGTTAATATTCTTTCTCGTAAGACTTGATTAACCAGTGGCAAAATACAGTCTAGAGCTGTGCATAAAGGATCTCATTCCATGTATCAGGAATGCCTGGTAAACACCAATGCAAGCAATCCTGGACACCCGGTGTGGCTTTAATGCTGTACCGGGATATGTGTCCCTCATCTCTCAACTGGGACAGAGCAGTTATATCTAAGAACTTCACATCTGTGCCCTTCACAGCTCCTTCAGCAACAGGATCACTTGAATTATCTTGCAGAACCTCCTTTCCTCCAGTCAACGGAGTGGTATTATCACAGCTTCCCCCTGAATTCCACTCCCCATTAAAGAAATGCCTCGGTGAGATAGCCCTGAAGAAGGCTCTAAGTTGTGGATGTTTCGGAAGCTGCAAGTCTAGCCACTTGACAACACTATAGATAGTGAAATTCTTGGCACTTGCAATATCAGCAAGCTTCCTATTGGTATTGGGCACGCCTCCAACATGCATTACCCACCGGTTTGCTTTAAGTTTTCCTCTGTTCCAATGATGTCCTGTATTGAGGACCAGGACATCAAACCTGTGAAGGTAGTGGCGCAAGAATGCTGCTGGACGATCAAGGTGCATGGCATAATCTGTGGCTGGGTCTGTGATATTAAGAGGCTCCAAGTCACAAAGGCTTGCAGACCAGTAATAAAGAATAGTAGTATTGGTATTCAGGAACCTATATGCCCAACCATCAGGCCGCACAGCACCAGGATTTTTGACAAGACCATATTCACTTCCAACATCTAAGACATCTGGTGACTCTTCGCCACCTGTCACCATACACATTAGTGATTGGAACTGCTGCCTGCCCAATGAATCCCCAACAAAAGCTACAGTCTTGTTCTGCATCCTGGAATACAACATCAACATCAATGAAATTGCATATAAAACTCAACCCAAAGAAAATGAATAGGGGTTGGTTGGGCCAACTGGACCCAACCCAAAAAAGGGTTCGGTTGGATTAACAATTGGTTAGGGTTGAGAAATTCCAACCAGATATAAAGCAGGGTTGGGTTAAGGTTAATGCCTTGGGCAACCTGACCCAACCCTAACCCAATAATATTACACTAATGAGAAGGAAGAAGAGAGACAATGATTACAAAGGGTGGGTTATTGTAAGGTATTATTAATGATGTCTTTATATCATTTTCATATAGAATAGGTATGTTTAGATGAATATGATAGTGTGTATTTGTGCATTAAGGCCATTACCCAGTACTGGTCCCAGCTATCTAGGGTATTGGGAGAGATGGACTAGATATGGACCCAACCTTTGGCATGTTTTTAGCACAAAGTGGCCACTCTCAGACTCGAACCTGTATTCTCACACTTGTCAGCCCTAAATTTTACCATTATACCATCTCTTGGTAAATTTGACATGTGTTTATAATTTGATAGGTGAAGTTCCCACCTGAATGCAACCCAACCTAACCAACCTAATCATGATCAGTTAGGTTAGGGTTGAGGTTTAACACAGTGGATTAGTCAGGGTTGACCTCAACAGAAACCAACCTGGCCAGAGTTGCATCCCTAAAAACGAAATGTAGATCATAGCTTCTAATTCAAACCACAGACCAATGCAATCTGGTAACAAAAACAAAGAAGCAAATAATGTTAGATTGTTCCCTCCACTAGTTTATCTACAGATGGGGGGCCATTACTTGGTGTAATGGTAAAATTTAGGGCTGGAAAGCATCAAAACACAGGTTCAAGTCTGAAAGCTTCCACTTTGTGCAAAAAATGCCAAAAGTTTAGTACCATATCCAGTCTACCCCTCCCAAGACCCCCGATAGGTGGGACCAACATTGGGTAATGGCCATTTTTTAGTTTATCTACAGAGGGAGATTTTTTCAAAAGGAAAAAGACAAAATGAATACATGCACAAAAAGGAAATACTTAAACATGACATTGACAACATAAATGGGCAGGCACCCCTAAGGAGGAAAGTGGAGAAAAGCACATCCTCTAGAGATTTAGTGAATCTGAGGATCAAGGTTACAGGCTACCTGTATCTCTCTCACCCACCTAATTCGAGCCAAGGTTTGCCCTCCACAAACATCATCTCAGAACCAAGAGACATATTAAGGGGCCATAACATTCCAAATACTTCTCTTTTCCATAGCACTTATTATATTTCTGATCACAACATTAGGATGATAAAACAGAAATGCATTGGTGAGGGAATGAAGAAAACTTCCATTAGGTTAATTCATGGCATAGGCAATCTTCTAGTAGTTTTAACTTGTATCCTTCACCCTAGGCAGGAAGTCACATGATGGGATCTCTGCAGTAAGGTAAATAGGAAAAAGGTTCTATACCTTCTCAAAAATTTAGACCCTTCAAAGTCTGGCATCTCACAATTTTCTGGCTGCCATCGAAAGCTTTCATAGGAAAAATCTGTGCGCTGGGTCAACCTACATGCCCACATCCCTGAAAGCCACTGCTTACAACCAAATCCAGAATATAGTGGTCTTCTATCATCTGCAACCCATTTTCCTTTTGCATAATTACAGACTGACAGTGAACAAAAATGAATATTAATTATTAAAATGCACAACACTGCAAGTTGCATATGGGAAAGTAAACCAAAGTATTTCAGAGAGAGAGAGAGAGAGAGAGATCCAGAATATCCATGTTGCAAATGAAATTGATTAGCAGTCTACTAATAATCAACTCAAATAATTTAGCAGTGTTTAGATTTTGTTTCTGGTGAATATTCATTGAAGTAATTAGTGTCTGTGTACACATAAAAATATACACAAAAGGAGGGACAAACAGAAAGTCCTTAAAATGAACAAAGTTCTTTATTTAGAAAGAGCCTAAGTCTTCCAAAGCTACAATCAAAAAATCCATTAACAAACTGTAAGCATCCAAAGACACAAGGGTAAAAAATCTTTTCAATATATTGAAAATCCTTCAACTTCTCATTTTCATAACAGGCCAGCAGTTCTAAAGAAATCATGTTCCACAAGATCACTGCCCGGCTGGTTCCTTAAGGGAAAAGAATGACAAGAAAGGAGCACAGACTGAATGGAGATTGGTCAAACCCAGTCTAGTCCAAAGGAAAAAGAAAATAAGCAACATGATATCAGAGAAAAAGGTTGTTCAATGATCTTTCCAACTCTTTGCATAATAAACACTTAATCAGGCAGTCTCTATTATTTAGGCGATCAATAGCAATAACTTTCCTATCCAGCCTCATGAAGGCCTCAACTTTATGAGGAATCTGATGTCTATGAATGCAATCAGGTTTTATATTGTTGATGCAGTCTTCAGAGAGGACAATGTGATCACTAGAGGACTAGAACATTTCTAGTAAATTCAGGTATTCTTTTTTTTTTTCTTTTTTGATAATTGAGAATTGATTTTATTAAACAAGAAGGATAAAAGCTTTACAAGCATCCCTTGGAAAGGCACAAGATGCAGCCTCCCCTAAGCATTACAAGTGATAAAAAATAAAGATTACAAAGTTGCCCAAAATAACTGATCCCTAGAGGACCCCTGTTTAGCAAGAAAATCAGCCAAAGCATTTGCCTCCCTACCCACCCATTGGAATCTACACACTGTGTTAAGCATTTCACTTTTTTTATGAGATCCCTATAACTCCAAACAATTGAGTCTGGATTTGACAAGTTCTCCACTCCTAATTGTTTGGCAATCTGAATCCCWTGTACTGCGGCCAGCAACTCAGCTCTTGTGGAATCCCCTATCCCCACCAGGCCTGAAAATAAGGAGATGATGTTGCCATTCTCACTCCTTAGGACTCCTATGCCAGACAATCCTAGGTTACCATGACTACTTCCGTCAAAATTCAATTTAATAACCCCTTCCGAAGGAGTTACCCAGCTTGTTGCAGCTCTGTTTTTCCTAATCGAAGTGTGTGCAATTGCAGCTCAATTCCTCCAGATGTCATCAAAGGAGAAAAAGTTGAAAGAAACCAAGGATTTCAGCCAATGACTAGCCCTAGTTAAAATACAATCCTTCACTTCTATAAAGGATCTCTCCTTATCTTGGAAAATTCTCGCATTTCTTTCTTCCCAAATTGTCCATATGGTGGCTGCTCTAAAACATCTCCACATACTGCTTCCTCTTTTTGTTGGGCAAGCAATATACTAAAATTAATCCATGTTTTAGTCAACCAGATCATACTAATACCTGAACAATAAAATCTCCAATGAATCTGTTAATTATGAGTTTTCTGAACATAAGGCAGCAAAGATTGCCAACACAATCAGGGAAATCTCGCCAGATGATCTTTTTTTATTAACTTTATCCAATAAAAGAGGTTATCCAATCATTCATATGCATATGCATCATATGTGTGGTAGAAGGATAATACCACTATAACCAGCAAGCTTCAAGGTTGTAATCAATAAAGATCTAGTAGAGACAATGCAAAGCAGTTTACCTTTCTCCTTTACAAGAGTTGGTTCATCTGCATCACCTTTTCCCTTCACAAAGGAGTTATTGGTTTCAGAATCCATCATTGCTATTCTGTTGGCATCTTGTTCTACTTTTTTTGGTCCTTTTTCTCCTTTCGGGCCTGGTTTAGGTGCTGCCCCCCATTTCCCCAATGCAGTTGGTGAAATTTCTGCAGCACCATATGAAAACCCAAAAGATAAACATGGAATCAAATGTACCATGACAATTTAGTGTTAACATAACAAAAAACCCATTGACTGGGGAATCCAAGCTTCAAAGAAGAATCTTGAATTAATAAGAAAAAAGAAACAATTGTCTCTGATATGTTGCAAACCATAGCAATGAAATGATAAATAGGGCAGATATTATGGATCTTCAATCTGTACCCTAAGCTCTTGGTGTTGAACATAATAGAAAAAACAAAAACACTGGGCCATCCAGAGAAGCATTTTGAATCATAGAAACATAAGCTAGTTTGGTATATCCAAAAACAGAGTGCTCGGATGATTGTAATAATCTCAGAGCATAGTTGTCAAGGCGGGCGCCTAGGTGACAAGGCGCCTTTGGAGGTTCGCCTCACCCAGTCGCCAAGCAGTTTTGTGCACCGGGTTATAAAATACTATTATATTTTTAAATTTTTGACATTATAATTATAAAATAGACACTATTAAACTAGAATATTCATTTTATGTGTTTATATACTAATTTATTTTTATTATTTTATTATTTTGTTAGGGTTTAATCAACGCAAACATTGCTAACTGCTGTATTGAACCCATGGTTCAAAGTATCGATACACCTGTGTATTGGCAGAGGTGTATCGGTACTTATAACGATACTCCCCCTATTTTTTTATTTCTTTGGTTTTCAATTCACTTTTAAATATATAAAATGGGTTCCCGAAAACACCTGTAAACGTGTATCGGGACCCCAAAGATACAATACAATGCACCTGATATGGGGCGTATCATATCGAAATTTTGATTCTTGATTGAACCCTCAAAAATTTCAAAACCTGAACCAATAAGCAAGGGAAGAACTTAGAATTTTGTCTAATCAACACTTCTTCTCATAAAGTGTTGATTTTCTAGACTTAAAACATGAAATTTATACTTCTCTTATGAAAATTATGAATAATTATTAAGGAAAGATGGTTATGGAACCTAGGGAACTACCCTACATATATGGTTTTACTTAAAAAAAAAATTCATCGCCTAGACGTCGCCTAGGTGCCCGCATAGGCGACAAGGCACCCCCCTATCGCCTAGCCTCGCCTTGGCACCTTGAAAACTATGTCTCAGAGAAACAGGCTGGACAAATATGGATCTCCAATAAACAAGGATTTTGGAGTACATTCAAACAAAAACATGCCGATAGGGAGCAAAAATCCATATTGACAAGTACCAAAGGCTGACCAATGAGGTGGAGACATGTGGTCATCACCAAATTGCTCATGGTAGCAAGGTAACAAACTAAATGGGCACTCAAGAGCAAAAATTATAAATACTGACAAAAAAAACTACCTTCCTTCTCCATAGGGGGTGGTGTTGAATTGTTATCAGTTATACTCTTTTTGGAAGAGCTCGTGTTTGCAGACCTCATAGGTGCTACCGCATTTGATGATTCTTCCTTCACATAAATACCTGGATTTGAAGACATTTCCTTCACCACAGGTGCACCGAAGAGAATCTCTGTACCACCAGCAGAAAATAGTCAAAATACCATAGATTGAACCAAAGATAAAATGCATGTACTTCTTTCTTTCTCTTTTCTTTTTTCTTTTGATTAATATTCTTTCTATTTTCTGAAGTAATTCTGATTTAAACATTTTATCTCAGCAAACATAGTTCTTAATATTTACTTGGAATTGTCTAGCTCTCTTAACTCTGTTGTTAGCTTCTCCATTATAAAAAAGTAATAACTTAATACCAACTGAAAACAAAACAAAAAATCTAGACTGAAAATGTGATACAAGGGGAGACTAACCTGAAGAAGGCATCGAGAACCGGCTTTGAGGTGGGAGCAATGAGGTAAGAAGCGGGGTTTTCTCCCATGCCCAAATAAAAACGAATGTGCAAACCAAAGCAATGAGACTGAGAGAAAGTTGTTTAGCCCTCAACCCATGAAAACCTCCTTTCATCTTTACATGCACCAAAATCTCAAGTTACAAGTATGTGAATGCCATCAAATACATGGTTTTCTTCATCCCCTTCTACAATTGCCTGTAAACATATGGTAACATTTCATATAAAAAGGCACATCCTAAAAAGAACAGATAAATCAGTCTCAATTCTGGGTGTACTGAACCACTCAGAAGTCATTTATTTAGGCACTTAAATAGGAAAAGGACATATGAAGTAATCAATTGAAAGAGGGGTATAAGTACTGAAAAGGATTTTATTGAGTTAATGATTTATATTCAAATACCTGTATCAAATAAAAAAAATTATGAAATTATTAACAACAAGATTAAAATAGAATTATGAAGATAGATGACAGAGTGCAGTTCAAATTTACCTAAAACAATGTTAATGAAGCAAAACAGAATAAACATGACCAGATATAAACCACATCATCAAATGCACATCTATATTTCAAGACTCATGTTTACCAAGATGGGAAAGCTTCACTGCCAGATTGGTTGAAACAATTCTCATAGTGCATCGAGAGTTTGATCGAGGGAACCTTTGTCTCAAGCTCATTCTTTTACTAATGACACTTCCAAGTAAGAAATCACTTCTCGGGTCCAACTCATGCTGCAACTTGGATAAGATCTCACTTCAAAGTAATAATCTGAACTTGCAGTTCATTGTGCATAAGATCTCTTTGTCACTGGAAAGAGATTCGGATTCTATTATAAAGCCAAGCACACAACTTCAGCTTGTCCCCCACTCTGCTGTTTGCATGGATAATAGCATCAGTACCCACCATTCAACGTGATCCCTACAAAATTTCCTATCCAAGAAAATGATCTGATTCAGTGACTGCAGACATTTCTTATGCCATAATACCATAGACTTTGGAATGCCAAGAAGGAAATAAGAAAAAAAAAAAAAAAACTTTCCTGCTATAACAACAAAACAAAGAAAATCCACATATACATCAATTAATCATCTCAAATGATTTCTAATGCCAATGAGAAAGGAGGGCCAATCTCGGGGAACATAGCTCAGATCAACTCATTTACCGATCAGGGGTTAAAGGCTTTAAAACATCCCATCAGAACTTCCAAGGAACCTCTATTATCATGTCCGAACGGGCAGACGATCTTTCAGAATAAAGTTTACGTGTTCCCAATCAAATATAAATCATTCTATCCAAGGCCCAATAGCAATAACACCTTTCCAATCAATATAAATCATTTTATGCAAGACCCAGAAAGAAATTAGGAAAAAAAACTATGGAATAGCAAGAGCACCTCTTAAACTAGGAAAAGTAAAGATGAATGAACTGAAAACAAAAATAAGTGAAGGCGCATCTCTGTAATCTTGCACTCTTGCTTCCCAATGGAAAGAAACGATCTAGAAATAGATCTGTGGCAACTTGGGGAAAGATAAACGACCGAATCTCTTCGAGAAGGGAGAAAACAAAAGCAACACCGAACAGGCGAACACTACAACGAAATAAACGAAATTTGGAGAGAGAGAGAGAGAGTACGGAAGAAGGAAAATGCACTCTGGATCCTGTCCGTTTGGACTCGGAGGGATTTTCATTCGAGTCCACTCATTTTAAGACACGTTGAAATTAGCTCACGTCACCACCCAAACTTGATATTAATGAAACCAAATCATTTTTGTTTTATTTATTTTTTGGGATAAATAGACTGTACTCTCAGAAATCTGAAATTACAGGAGTTCGACTATGATTGAATATCTCTTATTATCTCAAGATGTGGAATAACATGCTCTTTCATCCGAGTTTTTTTTTTAATGAAAATCAGAGGTATAACGAATATCTAAAAACTATTTGTTTTTGATAACAGGGGTTSAACTATGATTTGTGATGATGTGCAATTTGGCCGGTTTTAGCTGTCAGCGATCTTGCCTCTGAACCGAGTAGCAGAGAATCTGAAACGAAGGAGATGAGGAAGCTCCGGGGAGAACCCGGTGTAAAGGCTCTGAAGCTTAAGTTAGAATCCTTAAAAGGCAAGATAAACCAGATAGCGCAAAGTTTGCATACATCCTCTTTGGGGGTGGAGAGCATTTTATAATCACCTCGCGCACTCACTCCTAGACTCCTGTCAGGTCGGGAATGAGTATTTCCGTGCTTCTGCCAGTTCAGGCGTCATCGTCTCTGTTGGGGCAGAACCGTCACTGCTCCTTTTGTCGGAGCCATCTCTATAACTGGGGGCAGTGGTGACAGGTGACGGTGGCAGGTGGCCGTTTGAAATGCGGCCATCAAGCGTCAGATCCCAAGTCAGTCAGGTGCGCCGCCCCTGGATAYGGACTCCTTCGGTGTCAGGTACGGCGCGGTTCGTCCAGTTCAATGCTCCAGAAGCGAAGTGCCTAGAGCAGTGCGTGAGGCGAAGTCTTGAGTTCGGATAAGGGGGGCCCCGAACTGTCATAAGACGGGCCAGTTCGGGTCTCTGCTTGTGTGACTTGGGGTCAAAGGGAGAGTTCGGGTTCCTCGCAGGGAGTTCGACCACTAAGTAGGGAGTTCGGGCACCTTGCAGGGAGTTCGACCACTAAGTAGGGAGCTCGGGCACCTTGCAGGGAGTTCGGGTTCCTTGTAGGGAGTTCGACCACTAAGTAGGGAGCTCGGGCCCCTTGCTAGGGAGTTCGAGCTCTAAGTAGGGAGTTCGGGCCTGCTGGTCCCTTCCCTTTGGCGTTTATATCCTCGGTACGCTGTCTTAAGTGCCGAGCTACTTGCCTTTTTTGCCACGTGCCGTGATTTGTAAGGTCGGGCCAAATCTTCCTTCATCAATTTGAATATCTCAAGATTTGGGATAAGATGTTCTTTTATCTGAGTTTTTTTTTTTTGTTCAATTTTAAAAATTGTTTCAGCTGTTCTCTTTGTACTTTTTTTTTTTCATTTTGTGTATTAAAACTGTCATTGATTGTCACGATTCATGTTTTTGATGTCCGCTCAAGCACAGCGAAGACCAGGTTATGGGGAGCACTGAAAAATAAACCAGAGAATCAAATGTCTGAATTGTTTCTGAATCTACACTTTCTTGGTCTCAGTTAGATTTTTTTTTACTACTTTTCTTCTATTCAAATCAAATGGAACTATTCATGGTCTCGTAATCAAACTTAGGCTGCATTTGTCGTTGATTTATCTTCTTTTATAGTTAAAATTTCCTTATAAACATCAAGATTTTAACTATGAAAAAAATAAATCCTTATAATAAGGAATTTCGAATGCAATCTTAGACGAAAAAGTTTTCAGTTTTCATAGAGAAGGAACAGAAAGTTCTCTTATATATGAGTTTTTAATAAAAGAAAATAAAATATTAAAATGAAAAAAATATGTAAATATATATATTCTGTCCCGTTTTTCCGTTATCTATTATCTTGTATACACTCAAAACAAAATAAATCGCTTCAAGTCCAATGGCACGGGATCCGAACCGTAAAAATGGGGTTAACGTTTATTCAATATCTAAGTACTAATCAATTCCACCATTTTCAAGACCATGATTGACGATAATACATCTGTCACTCCTTTGAGGACCAAACACGGTTACACTCACACTAAAGGGTGGTCGGTGGAGATGAGAATTCAAAAAGCAATTCGCACATTCATGACGTGTTCGTATATGGAGAGTCCCACGTGAGTTCAGTGCTACGACTTTGGTCGCAGAAGATGTGAATTCGTTGCCGTGTGGTTGCATATACATACCGACAAACATAACAACTGCGATTAGCCGATTACTCGATATTCAAAGGGCTGTGGGCCCGTGTATTTTATGACGGAGTTTTATCTTTTTTTTTTTTTAATAAACTGCAATGCATTAATCAACTAGAAATATCACAAACAAACAATTCCTCCACAAACGATAGAGGCTCATGCCAAATACAAAGATTAACGAAACGACAAAAAGCCCTAACTAAGCTGTGGGCTACAGTGTTAGTTTATCTTTCGACATAAGCCATCGAGAAGTTTACACCTTGCTGTAACAACGAGGAACACTCATGAATGAGGGAGCCAAATTCGGACAGATCCGAAGCTGGAGCATGAAGGGCTTTTCATACTACTAGGGCATCAGTTTCAAATACCACATTTTGGATATCCATGCTGGTCACCCATTTAATTGCTGTTATAATGGCCCATTACTTCCCCTTCTTTCGAAACGAATAGACCAGGAATTGTGGACATGTAACCTTTCATGAAAGCACCAAGCTCATCACGTATAACTATCCCAAACCTAGTGAGGTTACTACTCGTGAAAGAGGCAGCATCAACATTACACTTGAAGGAACGAGGAGGGGGAGCACACCAATTACCGTTACCTTGGTGGTTAAGATTAATAACCATGCCCAATCGCTTCTATATTTGAGCTTGCTTCCAATCATGGAGAAGCTGCAAACTCCTAGTAACAACATGATTAGACAACTTAAAATTATTTCTCCACAGCTTGGAGTTACGTTGAGACCAGATGCTCCACAAAACCATGCAAGCACGTCTAGACTTGTCATAATCAGTTCCTGCTAAAAACTCAAGAAGACAATCGCCAAAAGAGGCGTTATTCGACACATTTACGCTAATGCCAGCCTTAGACCAACAAGCTTGAGTATACGGACATGATAACAAGACATGGCTCCGACTTTCAACGCTAGTATTACAGAGATGACAGGAAGTATCTAACTGGATGCCACGCCTAGCAAGCTGGTCTTTACAGGGCAAACACTCCCTACAAATTCGCTAAACAAAGCTCTTCGCCTTAGGTGGAATAGGAAGCTTCCACAACTTATCCCATCCACCCGAAATAACATCTTGAGAGATAGTGGTATTAAGATCCCTTGCAACCCTATATCCTGACTTTACTGAYTTTACTGAATATACCCCATTTAGTGATAAATGCCAAATTAGTCGGTCCTCTTGACTAGCATAAGACAAGGGAATATTCAAAATTGCACTAGCATCCCTTGGGCCAAAAAGCTCATGAATCATTTCGACATCCCATTCCTTGTGGCCTGGAATCCATAGGTCTGAAACCACAATATCTTCAAGCCCCTTAACACTAGGCGAATCAACCTTAAAATTGCCCATCTCCTTAAGCCACATATCATCCCACACACGGATATGCTACCCATCCCCAATTCTCCACCTACAACCTTTCTCTAAAACAATGCGAGAATGCCAGATGCTTTTCCAAGTATAACTTGGATTATGCCCACATTGGGCTACTAGAAAATCCCCCCCAAGGAAGTATTTAGCCTTGAAAACATGACAAACAAGAGCATCTGGTTGGAAAGGATATTCCAACCTTGCTTCGCAAGTATTGCTAAGTTGAAAGCTTGCATATCTCTAAACCCCATACCACCCTCTTCCTTCCTTACACAAACCTTCTCCCATCTAAGCCATTTAATGCCCCCGCCATTAGAGTAGGAATTACCCCACCAAAATGAGTTCATCATTCTCTCCAACTCTTTGCTAAGAGAGACATGAATCATAAAGGTACTCATGCAGTAGGAGGGGACAACTTGAGCCACATATTTAATTAAAATCTCCTTACCCGCACGAGACAAAAGCTTACTCTTCCAACCCTGCAATCTCTGCCATAGACGATCCCTAATAAATCTGAAAACTTCCTTCTTCTTCCTACCTATCAAAGAAGGTAAGCCTAAGTACCTCCCTGCGTTAATAGGATTAACAACCCCCAACACGCTAGTCACTCTAGCCTTCACATCCTGAGGCACATTTGAGCTGAAAAACACACCCGACTTCTGAAAAATTGATTGCTTGCCCCGATGCTTCTTCATAAACTTTTAGGATATTCTTTATGGAATTACATTCCCTTTCCTCTGCCTTGAAGAAGAAAAAACTATTATCTGCAAACAAAAGGTGAGAAACACTAGGTGCACCCTGACAAATACGATAACCATAAATCAAACCTTCTCTTTCAGCTTTATACATCAAAGCAGATAAGCCTTCAGCACATAAAATAAATAAATAAGGGGAAAGCGGGTCACCTTGGTGAAGACCTCTATTGGGAATAATAGGCCCAACCTCCATGCCATTGAAAGGCACATAATAGGAAACTGTAGTGACACAAAGCATGATCAACCTAATCCATTTGTCAGAAAAACCCAATTTCTGCATCATAAGCTTGAGAAACTAGCAGTCCACCCGATCATAAGCCTTGCTAATGTCTATTTTGAGAGCAACCTCGCCCACCTTACCCTTCTGCTTCCTCCTCATAAAATGAATAAACTCAAAAGCTACCAAGACATTATCAGTGATAGCTCTCCCAAGCACGAAAGCAGATTGAGCATTCAAAATAATGTTAGAAAGAAGAACCTTAAGACGATTAGCAAGCACTTTTGAGACGATCTTGTACAACACATTACAAAGAGAAATAGGTCTCAAATCTTTCATAGTTTTTGGGGACTCACACTTTGGAATAAGCACTATAGTAGTGCCATTTAGTGAAGCTGGAAACT